ATATTGCCCTAATTGAAGGGGGTTATGAGTGTAAGAGCTACTAAGCCGACCATTGAGTGCTTCACAGCAGTACATTCAATGAAGACACAGAATTCGAAGTTTCTTTGTGGAGGCACAAAACTTGGCTATGGCCTTGAGTACACATCACCCACTCCAACTCTTTCCAGCTAGTAAAAATTCAGTCAAAATATACCAGCAGGAAGACACAGAGAACAACCATGAATTAGCGTCAAGCGGCATAATATTTTTGTTAGTCCCTAACCAAATTGATGATAATCAGTCTGAGCATATGATTCCAAACGAAAGATCTTCTCATTTTGTATTTTTGTGGTTACTAGACGGTACATCAAAATGCATTTTCTGATGATTATTGGGTCCAAGGGCCATCTACGTAATACCATGCCTGCCACTAACCCTGCTTTTATTAGGTCTGGTATAAAGTAATCCATGGAGGGAATACTTCTCCAAGCAGATGAATAGTAGTGAACATGAAGAATCCGGAGATGATGAACCTGAAATCCCAATCGATGGCGATGAAAAATACGTTCCATTACCTGACCAAAATAGCAATCGCTCGCCTAAAAAACAACAAAGCGGCGGGAGCTGACAGCCTACCGGCAGAACTATTCAAACATGGCGATGAAGAGCTGTCAAAGTGCATGCAACAGCTACTTTGCAGAATATGATCGGACGAAAGCATGCCATGCGATTGGAATTTAAGTGTCCCCTGCCCAATCCATAAAAAAGGCGACCCCACAGTCTGCGCCAATTACCGTGGAATAAGCCTCTTTAATATCGCCTATAAGGTCCTGTCAAGCGTATTGTGTGGAAGATCGAAGCCCACCGTTAACAAACTGATTGAACCTTATCTGTGTGGCTTCAGACCTGGTAAGTCAACCACTGACCAGATATTCACTATTCGCCAAATCTTGGTAAAGAACCGTGAAAAGAGGATCGACACACACCACCTCTTCGTCGATTTTTAAACCAGCCTTCGACAGCCCGACAGCTGCCTTTACGCCGCTATGTCTGGATGAAGAAAGAGGAAGAACTCCACTCCGTTGGAAAGACCAGGTAGAGAAGGATCTGGCAGTACTTGGTATTTCCAATTTGTCGCCAAACAACAAGAAGAAGAAGCGAATGGCGCAATGCTGTTAAATCGGCTATAAGCGCGTAAGCGGTGTCTACGCCAGTAAAATAAGTAAGTAAGTATAAAGTAATCTGACATCGCGATAGCCGAGTGGTTAGCATTGAGTACAGCCATTCGGAAGTACAGGATTCGATTCCTGGTTCGAATGGTGACTGATTATGAAAAGTGGATCACTTACATCAAAGTCAAGCGAAAACGTTGGTGGTCTCCGCGATTGACAACCAGGAAGATTTTGATATGTATTTGATAGGAATGGCAAGGAATCATGCAGCCAAACTCTTGATTCGGCACGTCTGGTACCACCAGTCATTGAACCGTCTGAAGGAACAATATCACCCAGCTTTGGCCAACAGAAGTGGAAATGGTCCTCATCATAGTGACTTGCCGCAAGCTCCGAGAGCTGGGTTGGAAGGTCGTTATGCATTCACCTTATAGTCCAGAGCTCGTACCGAGTAATGGAACAGATGGAAACTGATAATGGCGAACGCTTTCGCTGGCTTGGGACTGGCCTCAAGGAAAGCCTGTGAAAATCCATTGTACGGATTTCCAGACAATAAGCATCACGGTTTTTAAGAGAGAGACATAGTGCCATAACTTTCAAAGTGACAAAAAGTTATCGAGCAAAACGTTGAATATTTGACACAAATCAGATAATTCTGACTATGGTAAATAAGGCCTGCAGACCATTATTATTATTTTTATTATTATTATTTTTTTTTTTTTTGAATAAATTGCACTATTATTTGTGAATATCAAAAAATCCTATCGCTGCGCGACTTTTCGCGTGCACATTCGTGTTTAGAAATTATTAAATTTAAATTCACAATTTGTTTTTGTTTCTTGTGTTTTCCACGAAATGATAAATTTTTTGTTTTTCACTGTCATTGCTGAATTTGTTGTTAGATGTAATACACTAAACAACCGTTATTTCAATAATTTCTCTCAAATTTCTTCACATAAAATGCATTTCGGAGTTTAATATCCCGCCGTCTTCACTTTAATACGAATTTCAAATATATTTATTATTATTCATAAATTGTTTTACTTATAAATAACTTAAGCACACAACGAAAATGAAACTTTTTGATTTTAAAACTTAATTATTTGCGTCTGTATGTAAATGGAAGTGATGCGATTTTGCGTGTTTGGCGACGAGTGCGTGAAAACTGAAAATTCGTAACTAAATACCCAGTGCCAGTGAGCAGCGCGTCAAATTAAGCTAAATACATTTAGAATTCCATCAACCTTAACAACAATGCCCCAGTACTAACATTAATGGAAACAACAACACTTATTAAATGCCCGAAATGAAATGCTTTTTTATGGTTAACTTAATGTTGCTGTTGTTGCTGTTGTTGTTGTTAAAGAGCTCAAATTTCTGGCTACTTTGTTGTTGTAAGTTTTAGCTAGCCTTTGTTTTTTTGTTTTTTTGATTTTTTGTGCTTTTTATTTTATTTTAGTTTTTATGTACGCCCTGCGTTCCTTTTTATTGCTTTCGAAAGGGAGTTGAAAAAGTGAAGTGTTAACTAATCCGTGTTATTGTTGTTTTTGTGGCAGTCACTTTTTTTGTGAAAAATTATTATATTTACAAACATATATACGCATTTACATGCATATTTATATTTGTTAGTTTTCGAAATGTTTTGTTTAACCATATTTAACTGCCAGCTGAACTTTACAGTAAAACTTAATTTTTTTTAGATTATGCGATATTTATGAAAAGTTTTAAATTATACATAATAAAATATGTAATATGCACACATACATATGAAAATTTCAAAATAAAATTCTTTTACTCTCTTTTTGAAAATTTATTCATCCATAATTAATCGCATATGTATATGAATGTAGGAACTGTATATACATATGTATGTGCGAAATAAATAGAAAAAGATGCTTATCTATGCATATGTACAAGGTGCGTTCCAAAGTAAACAAGGCTTTTTGAATCTAGCGCCATCTAATGGCACCATCTATATGCATTTCATCTATTGGAAGTGAACTTATTGCGTTTTAAGTGTCAGTATGTTTTTGTCATCAGTGCAAAAGTGAGCTTCGAACAAAGAGCCAACATTAAATTTTATTTAAGAATTTGTAAAACTTTTATCGAAACGTTTCAATTGATGAAACAAGTTTATGGCGATGATTGAGTGGTGCCAACGTTTCCAAAATGGTCGTGTGGACTTAAATAACGATGAACATGTGTGGGTCAACCGAAAATTCCTTCGAAACTGTGCGTGAATTCATAAAAAAATCAGCCAAAATCATCATTGAAACTCATGGAAATAGAATTGAACATCTCCAAACTTCGATTTATCGCATTTTGACTGAATATTTTGGCTTACAAAAGGTGTATGCACGGTTTGTTCCCCACAAATTGACTGACGACCAAAAATTGCTCAGAATTCAACATTCGAAGGACACCATTAAAGAGGCAAAAAAAAGACCCGCACTTCCTTTACAAGATTGTGACTGGTGGCGAAATGTGGTGTTTTCAATATGATCCGGAAACGAAACGCCAGAGTGCTGAATGGAAGCGCCGGATGAACCGAAACTCAAAAGTCAAAAGCCTAGAGAAGTCAAAAGTGAAGACAATGCTGATTTGTTTTTATGATTCTAGCGGTATTGTCCATATAAAATTTGTTCCACTCTGCCAAAACGTTAATGCGGTATTCTACCTTGGAGTTTGGAGTTTTGAAGCGATGGAAGGTGGCGTTTTTTGCCTCATAATGCGCCGTCTCATCGATCGATGCTTGTGGCCTATTATTTGACCAAAAATCACATTTTAACAATATACCACTCCCCGTAATCACCTGATATGGCACCGTACGACTTCTACCTTTTCGGAAAAATGCATTTGCCGATGAAAGGAAAGTGTTATGCAGACGTGGAGGCCGTTCAAAAGGCTTGCGCCGGCATACTGGCGGCCTTACCGGGTAACGAGCTAAAACACTCGTTCGACATACTTTTGGGCCGTGCAAAAAGCTTTATTAAAGCAGAAGGAGACTATTTTGAATAAAATTAATTGATTTTGCCGATAAAACCATTTGTTCTGTCTTCTTTTTAAAGTCCTGTTTACTTTGGAACGCACCTTGTACATATGTACATTACCCCTTTTATTCAAATTGGACCAAAACTCAAAACTCAAAGCCATTTGGCAAGTGTAATTCCTATGATTTAATACATAAGCATACCCAAATACATATATATGTATATTATAATCATTTGAGTTAAATCCAGCATACGATGCCATTGAACGCATTTGGCATTGCCCTAAAAGTTGACTAAGCGTTCCCCCTTTTTCTGTTTTTATTATACACGTACTCTTCAGCTATTTTTGGTTATAATTACAGCGTTCTGCGTCGTGTTCTACACTCACAATGGATCCATGAAAAACATTATATTAAATTCTTCTCCTACCAACCTGCATCATTTCTCTCGCCTATTTTGTGTCTATATATGTAACTGTGCACACGCGTGGTTTTGTTCGTGTACACATAGTGCTTTTTGGTTGAAGGCGCTCATGCGTAGATCCACCAGTGCGCAGTAACGTTGAACTATTGAGTGTGACAAACTTGTGACTGATGAGGGGTTGATACACACTTATATTCAAATATGCAATATCTACATAACTCCAAGTGTATACATGTATATGTGGTAAAAATGTAGTTATTTTCATATATGAATATTTTATTATTTATTCAAGCTCAATAATTATATATTCCTCGTGGAACTGCAGGTTTTTTCCCTTTTTTGAAACATGAATAATTATACATGGATATTTCTTTTATTATAGTTTTATTGGTTTGAATTTTGAATTTTTACCGTGGTTAATTTATAAAAACAACAATATTTTTAATTATTTTTTATTCAACAATACATGTGGAGCAAAGCAGTTAATTACTTAGTTCAGCCTGCTCCAAACGTTCATTCTTTGTAGCCTCACCACATTCATAACGTTGATAGTCAATAATAGCGACATTATTCTCCTTAAGCACTTCGCCTACAGTGCGCTCAGAGTCGAGCAAATACTCTTGATGTATAAGGCAAGTCTCATCATCTTTATTAGCTACTGGTTTATCTTTTCCCTCTTCGCCAATCTTTACTGGATTGAGCCCAACAATATGCTGGCAAATATTCTTTTGCAATTCTTCATCCAAGCCAGTACCACGGAAGGCAACAATTGTACCATATTTTCCTATTTGTGTAGTGTTCTCGGTAACAGTTGTAGTCGTGGAAGTTGGATGCGCATATCCAGCCAGTTGCATATCATTACTGGTTTTAAAACATATCGCACGTTTGATTGATGTATTTTCACCAACAGCACCAATAAGCAAGGCTAGGTGATCGCCAAGAGTTTTACCATCTGTAGTGCGAAGATTCTTCAGTGCATCAGCTTCAAATCCGAGCTGTTTGTAAGACAAAGAGTTTTTTTATTAAAGTTTTAGAGAACTTGAAAAAATTGTTAATTCAAAGATGAACAATTTTTGAACTTAAAATTACGTTACTGGTTTTTTAGTGCACATACCTTCCATAAATCACCATCGAAATCTGTAGTCTCCGTGTATTTAGCACAAATGCGAGACACATGATCGACAAAATTCTTAAAATGCTCATTGCGTGCAACAAAATCTGTTTCACAATTTACTTCAACCATAGCACCGATATTGCCATGGATCAATACGCCTACTAAACCTTGAGCTGTGGCACGTTCTGCCAGCTTCGTAGCCTTTGACCAACCAAGACTTTGGGCCTGCTCATTTAACCATTTTTCTGCCTGGATAAATTAAATTATTATCAGTAAATGCAATATTTCGAAATATGTATGTAAATTTTTTATATCTACCAAATTGATGTCATTATTATGCATCTCAAGCGCTTTTTTGCAATTGGCAAATGTGTAGCCGGTCTTCTTGCGCAACGCTGCCAAGGCACTCTTTTCAGCACCGGCGAACACTAGACGCGTCGTGTGGAATGCGCGGGTGAATTGTTGTAGCAACATAATTATTTATTTTGTTTAAGTTTTTTATATTAACTCCACCACTTCAGACTTGTTGCCTGCCAAGATGAGCTCACATTCAAAGGCTGTCAAGGAAACCAAAGAAATTTATGTTTATACACAGAAAACAAACCAAAACAATTTTCAACAAAGAACTGAAGAGCGTGGATGTATTTAAGTGTAGTGTAAATATTAAATTTTTCTAAGTAGTAAGTAAATTGTTAAAAAATGTTAGCAAATATAAAAAAGTGCAACACAAGTTCTACTAAAGGTGTATATCTATGTTAACTCCGCATTTACTTGCAACAGCGTTCTAGCGGAAAACTTGTGTTGTCAGTGAAATATGAAATTAAAGGAATTCCTAACTTAGTAACGCATCGATAGATTACACTTGACACACTTTAAAGTTTAATTTAAATGTATTAAAATTGCCGGCAATTACCTCGTAGCGGATTTATTTGGTTGCACAATGAAATGTGTGCGGTTGACATCAAAATTGTCAAATTGACATTACACACTTAACAGCTGTTTTTTCGTTAAGCTGTCAAATTGATATAATAAGAATTAGAATAAATCAACATATAGATGGCGCTGCCCTTTAAACGGAAGTTAAACACTTGCCCAAGGAAATTTGAATTTCTCCTATTGACGGTTTTTTGCGAGTGTTTTTTCTGTTTCCATTTTGATAGAACCTGGTAACTAAAAATAAAAAAATGATGAAACATGATGATGAGCAAGTCAATAAAATAAAGGGAAATTTTATACTTGCTGCCAAAGTTTATAATTTTTTTTCAAATTCAATTGAAATTTTGAGAAAGACGTCTATTTGTGGAAAAATATAATTCTTAAAAAATTGTTTGACTATTAACGACAACCGGCAATCAATTTCAATTACTTCAGCATGGCTCAGGCGTCCTCATCCAGTGGAGCCGTTAAACGGCCTTGCTCTAATTTGAAACTGGTCTACAATCGCCCGAAACCGGATGTTCTGAATAGTATATTAAAATCGCGTGCCAATCCGCGCTATCGATCACGTCGTCTCTGGTATGAGCTCAATATGCCCGAGTGTACATCTGCAATATTTGATGGCAGAATGATTTCCACATCACTGCCGGACAGTTTGTTATGTCATACGCGTGAGATGCGTTCGAAGAATAAACAGAAAGTGAGGAAAAAAGAAAGTGAGTATGAGGTGGTTTGCCGTTGGATTCCTGTTGCTTGAAACATTCTTAAACTCGGTAGGAGGACGTACATATATGGAGATGCGTTTGGAACGAGAAAACTTCCGAAAGAAATTAGTAGAGCTCATTGCTTGTGAAGATGAAGATGTCCCAATGACGGAGGATACTGATGATGATAAGTTTCCCAACAAAGAGGAGAAACAAATGCTGCGTTACTACTATTATATCAAGCATGGCATCCACACATATCATGTTGCGCCTATGGGCAAGCGTTTACTCAACAGGTTAGTGTTTTCTGTACCAAAAATACTGTGATGAAATTCGAAAACTCTTCCTTTTTTATATCAAAGAATAACAACACTCATAAGACCAGCGTTGAATAAGTGGGATACCGAACGCAATGAAACTATAAGTGAAATCAAATCGGATTTCACATTCGCCATGAAAAAGGCAGTTATTGATTTTGTACTGAATAATTCTTTACCGAGTTTACGTAAGGGCAAAGAAAAAGTTATAACGCCGGAGCGGAAGGAGATCAAAATAATGATGAATCGTTGGCGGTATCGGTAAGTGTTTTCTACTGCAAGACCTTTGCATGACAAAGAAAGTAAAAATGTTTTCACGGTAATCTGTTTGAAGGTGGCTGGGTTTTAAGTCAATATTATAATAGGCCTAATAGGGTAGAAAGCCTGAGGGACTTAATTGTTTTTCATTGGAGCTGATTGATTCATGTGGTGGGTCTCAGGCCCACAGGAGTATTTCTTCTCGCTTTAGCTCGGCTCCCAAAGAATTTTTGTATGATACCCAGAAGATACTTTGTCTAAGACCTGGAATCATACTTAAAATTGCTTTTAGGCACTCTGTAGGAGACCTGATATTTACCATGAACCATGATAGTGGCATCATTGAACTCAATAACCGTGCCAATAGCTTAGTCTATATACAAGGTAACTAAGTAAGTGAAGCAAATGGGTATGGTATTGAACGAGGACAAGACGAACTATCTGCAGTCATCGAACAAACATTCATCGCCTTCGCGGCTCAGCTCTCAAGGCACAGTTGACAGTCTGAACATTGAAGTCGCAAATAATTTCTTCCATCTTGCAACCAGTATTAACACTAACAAAAATGTCAGCCAGGATACCTAACGCCGAATCACTCTTGCCAACAGGTGCTACTTTCATCCGAGCAGGAAATTCAAATGTAAACTCCTCTCTGGATGTATAAAGACCAAATTCTACAAGTTGCTCATCACACCCGTTCTATTACATGATTCGGAAGCATGGACGCAGACAACATCTGATGAGTCGGAAAGGTTTTGCCGTAAATTTATGGTCCTTTGTACATTGGTAACAGTGAAACCGCACAAAATGGAACGCTGAGCTCATCGAGTACGAGATACATGATGACTTTGACACACGTACATATGTTGTTCGATTGGATGATAACACTCCAGAAAGTATTCGATGCAGTTTCCGCTTGTGGAAGTAGAGTAAGACCTCCCTCCGTTGGAAAGATCAGATTGATAGCGAGCTGGTTCCAGCTGATATGTAAAACTTTATGAATATAATGCTTTCTTTGCGATTTTAACCTAAAATTTCATGTCGGAAAAATCGGTTAGAGGGATCACGAGGGTTCAGATAAATACCAGCCTCAGCCAGTAAGATCCAATGACCACGCCGAAATACCAACCGCATCAAGCCTGTTACACGTTAATAATGGAGAAGCTTTTTAACAATAAATATTGGGGTTTCTCAGCCCCGGATGCGACAGTTTTACGTATTGACAGTCAAGATGATTTTCGATGAAGAACACAGTCAGCAAAGACACGACGTGGTTCATGTTCGCCCGGCTTGAGTTCTTGTGTTAACTGAACTTTATTAGCATTAAGGCCCAAGTCTTTATGAAAAATGCGGTGTAATGACGAATTGAGCTTTCCAAATTATGGACAAACCTGGGTTTTCTTCAACACTTTGGGGTACAGCAGCAATATTCGCAATTGGTCTTGAGCGCAGTGGACGTGTTTTATTCTTTACAGCCATTTTTTGTACCAATTTTTTGTTTGCCTGCGCTTCGGCAATGTGCTCCACAACGACGGAAAAATATTTTAGTTTTACAAACAGTCTATGCCATATTTATAGTGAATTTTAATAATTTCAATGCGTTGTTGAATCGTATGTCGTTCCATTTTTATTACTGACGTGTCTTGTTGTCAAATGTCGAGCAACTTCAGCTATAAAAGTGAAATCTACTGTAATTCCAGGCTTTTCAAAATAAAGCCTCTTATTGGAAAACGCTTTAGAAATTATTGCAAAAAATAAAAAATGCGCGTTTTTTGAGCACTTTTACCCCACCGTGCGCCGTGCTGAAAAAAAAAAATCTAAAGCAATTTTTTTTATTAAGCTCCTGTTGAACCAGCTAGTTTCTGAAAACAAACACATTAAAATTTCAATTTTTTAACTTGAGTTATGCTCTTATCTACGAGTATCTGCGCTTACGTTCATTTAGTCGCTTCCAAAACCAGTAAAATACCTGAGCGCGTGAGTTTTCGTCACGATTTTCAACTCAGGAAAATTCCATGATAAAGTCATGAAGAGTGTGTTATAATATGGATAGATTTAGTAAGGAAAATATTTAGTAAAGCAACAGATAGTGATTTTTAATCAGAGCAAATACAACGTCAAAGTAGTGATATTCAAATCGCATCGCAAGAAACAGAAAAATGTTTAAACTGAAATCTGTTGCTAAAATGGCGCTAACTTTTGGTAAATAATCGCAAATTAAGGATTTATTATAAACTCGTTAATATGTTTTTTTTTTTTTTTTATTTAGTTGCCAGCGTTGTGTACTTCAGTTTGAGTGTTTACGCTATAAATCGAAAGGTTTTGCTAACGGATGGTAAATAAAGAGAATTCACCGACAATTTCCCGTACCTGTAAGAGACAACTGCTCCGAGAAAAGACAATGAAGTGAAGGGTTTGAAGAGAATATACTAAGTATATGTGTATTAAAAAAAAAAAACAATAATAAGCGGGTATTAAGCAACGAAAAATAATTATAACAAAGCATACAGATTTATACATACATATAATGTAATACATACACAGACAAATAAATTTATGGTGTGGGTAATGACTAAATAAGCAGCAAATAATAACGTCTTGGCGTCCTTAAATGACACGAAAAAAGATCTATTTATATTACTTATGTGTAGCGGATAGAATTATGTCAAAGCGGGCACTTCTTCTTCTTCTTCTTAATTGCCGGGCGCAACGTTTTCGCCATTATAGACGCGTAAGCAATAGCGCACCAGTCGCTTCTATTCTTTGCCGTTCGCCGCCAATTGGATGCATATATTAAAGCCAAGTCTTTCTCCACTTTATATTACTATAGGCGTAAAGCTTTTATTCTTCCTCTTCTTCCACAAATGGGTCCTCCACCAAATACTTTTAAAGCTGGAATGCTTTCTTGCATCCAGATCCGAACAATTTTTCTCTCGTTTGCAAGATTTTTTTCTCGAAAAGTGGCAAAAATGATTCTGCGTTGGATTCGAAGGCTAACATTGCTATTGACGCTGGTTTCGATATATGTATTTAGATGAAGCGAACTAAACTCTAACCTAGAGAAAGCAGAATTAACGGTGGGGTTCTTCAGGCTGATGATGTTTATGTCAGCCAGTACCAGTTTTACGCTCTTCTAGATGATGTACCTTCTCTATTCAGCTCTGCACCAAAGTATTATTTTCTTCAGCATTAAGTTAGAGAAGTCATGCGATAAAAGTTAGCTTGTCTGAAACCTCGTTGAGATACCTGATGTCGCTTCTGGTACTGTTCAGAGCCAATTTACATAGCTCTATGAGTTTTGCGGTGATACCAAATTTAGGTATAGTCGCGTAGAGGTGGCTCCTCGAAGAGCTGGTCTAAGTCGATATTTTTTTCATGTGTCTCCCCCAGAATTTTGCCCATTGTGAATATCTGATCAATGTTGGATCGACTAGACCTAAAGCTACATTGCTAAGGTATGATCAGCTCACTGAAGGTGTGCTTAAGTTCTTCACAAAGTACGCTACATAGAATCTTGCAAGTGATGTCAAGAAGATTTTTCTCGTGATATTGCAAATAGTATGGGGTTCCCTTTCTGTCGGTTTGAATGGAACATATTCACTTCCAATTTGTGACGCATTAATCGCCCGACTATATTGCAGCATAGCAAGCTCTTCTTTAAATACCTTGCCCAGTAAGGCAACCGCTGAAGCGATTTTCGGCCGAACTCCCCCTCCTCTTTTGGATTGCGTCTAGATAGTTTCCCGACAAATGGAGGGTCCTACAGTTTATTCTAAGCTTCGGCTTCCGAACGGCCGATGGACTTTTATGAGGAGCTTTTATTTCATGTCAGAAATACTATCGGAGAGGCTGCCATTCACTGAGGAGCGAATTTTTGACGGCGATCACTTTTAGAAAAATAGTTTTGTATAATTTTAGTTGTTCACCAACCCCTCGGCTAAAGCGAGGTTCATTCTATGCGAAATGGGAAATTGATCTCATGCAAAGAAGGCGAAACTTAAACTGTTCCGAAATTGGATAATCAGGTAGGTCATTTATAGACAAGTTTTCAAGGCTAATCTACTTATGACGAAACTTCCTAACATATTTTTAGGGTTAACAAATTGACTGACGAGATAAATAAGATCATTGAATCCATATTCTGATCAAATGCAATTGCAACATATTCTTTCTTTTCTCTTTCAGTTATGACGATAATCGTTGTCGCATCAAAAAGACTCTCTTTTGCATTCATCGAAGCGTTGCCAGCATACTCGACTTGTGGAGTACCAAATATAAGGAAATGTTTTTTGTTGATGTCAAAGAGCTTGCGCTCGCAAAGGATCCCTATGAACTTTATGAATTCACGGTGAGTTAATGACGAATGATCACCAATCACGGTATTCAATCCGCTTTTTATATTGTATATGTAGTATGTGTGTGGTCGTCAAATCGATACCGCTAAGTCAAAGCTGGAGGATGATTGGTATGGTGAAATACATCAAATCCTGTTGCGTGCCAGTAGGCGTGGTCTGTTGCCTGATGTTAGACGCATGAAATTGTTGCAACGATTCTACAATTGCGTTGCTGCCTTAATGACCCAACAATTGGAGGATATATGCATACGAAGCTTGAAATCGTATGCGAATTTCATTTGTGATTATGGGGTAAGTAGCATTGGGATTACAGATACTGCCGTATGAAATCGATATATATATCCGAAAATTCGACACTTTCTTGTACACAGAATAGGATAGTCAGTCTTCTAGCAACTGAACAGTTTTAACTGCTTCGTCCCATGCTTTTGAGCACGTTCGGGTTTGCTTTATATATATATGTATGTATTAATGCTGCTGAAACGATTTTCGGTCGATCTCCTTCTCTAAGTTGAGGTGTGCGTTCGAAGGGGCCTAAAATTTATCCTCCCCTTTTTCATACGACCCATTAATTTTTATACGGAGCTTTTATTTCACATCCGAAATACAATCGGAGGGCTTGACCTTCAGTATCAAGGGACGGCCGTATTATTTTTAAAAACAGTTTTCTATATTTTGAATGTTGATTGGACCAGGACTCTAACCATAGCTTTCTTAATGGTAGCTCGCACTGCTTAGAATAATGGCTAATGTGTTAATTTGCATTGGGTATACCTAGGTAGAGTCTGGATAAATAGAAGGCAAGTCTACTCGAATATCCTGATCTTAGTTATAAAAGTGTTACTTTGGTTTTACCAGGCTGTTCGAGCTCTGCTTCTGCTAAAGGTGGTGTTTGGTCTCCGGCATAGTATAGCACTTACTTCTTATGTATCTGATAGTTCTGCTTCAAGCGTCAGTAATCCCTGCGTTAGCATCCCAACAGATAGAGCAAGCTAGGTAAACCGTTGGGGGTATTCGCTTGGACTAGGAATCTTTATTATGATTTGAGGGCATACACATGAAATGTCTGGTCCCTTAATTGGAAGTGCGATGAACGGGATAAGGACGGAAGAAGATGGGTACTTGTGAAATATACTACAGCGGCCCTGTAAAAGAGCACCGAATGATGCATCGCCGAGTACTGGCATATATTCCGGTGGATGAACGTCTCCCACTCCAAAACATCCCCAAATGACTTGAGGGTGATCGATTTCGCTGGGCTCAAAATATGGTTGCCTGCACTATTAGATAAAGTAGACTTATTTTGAATCATATGCAACACCTTTACCAGAAAGCTGTCATTGGTGATCTCAATCCTTAGAAGTTGATTTTGATAACCGACACAAATTTTACACATTTTAATTTTTCCTATCTTATCAACAGAAAAGCAACCCCGGACTCAAGATCAGCCTTATACTCGAGGACGAAGATAATATTACATTTAACCCGAATTTCCCCAAGGTTCAACACGAACTCTTACGCATTATCGAGTCCATTGTTATGTCAGTCGATCAAATGCCGCGCATAGAGAATAAACTCTACACGGAATTGAAAATCTCTAATCAATACCACTTGAAGCCCACAATACCAGAGTCGATAATTGTTGATGCACGAAACCGCATATGCGTCATGTTGGAAGAGCAACGTATAGGGCCTGAGCTACGTTTACAAGATTTCGATTTATATATCGATTTAATGAATGGCGTAGATGCAGAACGAGTCTCGCAATTTATAGCATCCGAACCAACTTTCGAGCAATATTGTGACATGGTATTGCAATATCGTCGCAAAGAGGAGCAGATCATACAGGATATTTGGGGTGAATTACGTATGGGTCTGTATGAGTTCCATCGTGAGAAATTTATAACGAACCTAGAGCAGTTGGCGCGCTATATGCAAACGGATTTGCTCGAAAAAATGGTGGCTGATCAACAGGCGCAAATCTCGAAATTGGGTAAAGAGTATGAGGGTATAGCAAAGAAGGCCATGACTGTGCCGCAAACCACGGCCGAGCTGATGGCGCTCAAAGAGTTTGTAATTAACGCAGAAGAAACACTCATACCAGAAATGGAACAACGTCTGAAAGTGGTAGGTTCAAGTGTGGAATAAAAAAAAAATTAGAAAAATATTAAATATTTTAAATTTACAGAATATGAGTCACATCTTGTGGCTGATGGACAATATCATTTACTCACCGTTGGATATAAAAAACAACAGCAACACCTTTCAATGGTATCTCAAGATGCCTTCGGTTTTCGAAGAGCATCGCTTGATAATTGCCGACAAAACCATAGAATATCAAGAGCGTCTCAAGAAGCGTATTGAAGCGTTCCGACGAGAGTTACAAAATTACTATGAACAGGTGCAGGATTATGAGAATTGGGGCGATATTAAGCATTTGGCGCGTTATAAGGTCTGTGTGTGCACACATATCTAGGACGTAGAGACTGTGAACTATTATTAACTATTTTTCGATATTTTAGCGGCGTGCGACTGTTCTGGATAATCGCTTAGTCAACGCTATGGACACAATCGATCGTATCAATGAAGAGGAGACTGCTTACGGCTGGGATCTCACACAGTATCCTATACGCAAGAAGACACACGATCAATTGAAACCCTTCAAAACTCTATTCGATACCGGTCAAGAGTTTATGGAGAAACATGACGCTTGGATGCATTCACAAGTTGGTACATACGATCCCGATGAAATCGAAACGGATTTGGCAAATATTTATCGCGTGATACAAAAGTTGGAAAAACAAATGAGTGACAGACCAGCTACGGCGCAGCTGATAAAAGATGTAAGTTGAGGCAGATCACCAAAAGTTCTTTTCGTGTTTGGAGCGTACACACTTCTTACTCATAAAAGTAAAACTGTTATCTAAGGTTTAATTTAACTAATTGTCAACTCAACATTCTAGGTCCGCGAACAAATCGAGGAGCTACGCACGCACATGCCGATCATCAGCACACTCGGCAATCCCGGCATGAAGGCACGCCACTGGGAGCAAGTATCAGAGATAATTGGTTTCCCTATTAAAGTATCGCCTGAGCTCACATTGGAGAAGATAATCGAGTATGGCTTGGAGGAGTATGTACCTAAATTCGAGGCGATTTCAGAAAGTGCAACCAAAGAAAATAATTTGGAACGTGCAATGGCTAAAATGGTTGCGGAATGGCAGGATATGGCTTTCACGGTATCACCATACAGGTTTGCTGCTACTTTGCAAAGAAGCCAAAGGCAAAATATATATTAAGTTCATTTTTGTATACAGAGATTCCGGCACTTACAAACTGTCGGCAGTGGATGATATACAGATACTGTTGGACGATCAGATAATTAAAACACAAACTATGAAGAGTTCGCCCTACATAAAGCCATTTGAGGAGGACATATTGTAAGTAGAAAACGTATAGCGGAATAGAGGTGGTTTCTTTAGAAGATTGCGTTTATTGCCAGAAAATGGGAAGCCAAACTGATGCTGCTGCAGGATATTTTGGATGAGTGGCTGCGTGTGCAGGCAACATGGATGTATTTGGAGCCGATTTTCTCCAGTCCCGATATTCAACAACAAATGCCGGAAGAGGGGCGTAGATTCGCTGCAGTAGACAAGGTGAGAGTGTTTCATTTTGAGCAGTCAACGATATTCTGTTATGAACTTTGGAACCCTACACTTTGCGTTGCTAGATTTGGAAAGAACTCATGAAGCAAGTGAATTCAGATCCACGTGTAATGGTTGTGGTCGAGATCGATAAGATGAATGAGAAACTTAAGAAAGCATACTCACTTTTGGAGATTATACAGAAAGGTCTTAATGCAGTATGTATTCTGGGCTACCACATCCCAAAAATTAGTATTTGATTTTTATTTTCTATTTCTGTGCAGTACTTGGAGAAGAAGCGTCTCTACTTCCCGCGTTTCTTCTTCCTATCCAACGATGAGCTACTGGAAATACTCTCCGAAACTAAGGATCCAACACGCGTACAACCACATTTAAAGAAATGTTTCGAAGGTATTGCCACTTTGAACTTTACGGAGGAGCTAGAAGTGACTGCAATGCGTTCCTCGGAGCGCGAAGAAGTTGCACTTGTTGATGTTATCTCCACAGCGAAGGCACGTGGTCAGGTGGAAAAGTGGTTGTTGGAATTGGAAATTGACATGAAGAAGAGCGTACATTTGAAAATTAGTGAATCATTCTTTAGCTATCGACAGATGGTGCGCGAGACATGGGTGCTCTCGTGGCCCGGTCAGTGTGTGCAGTCAATCTCACTTACTTACTGGACACTTGAGATTACCGAGTGCTTCTTATCCGATGCGCCTGTACCAAATTTGCGCAAGTACTTGACGCTTTGTAAATCACAGGTTCGATTAATTAATTTCATAATTTAAAAATTCTCATAGAATTGTTTCCTCTGCAGATTGCTAAAATTGTGGATCTCGTACGTGGTCATTTAAATGCTCAAAATCGCATAACTCTGGGTGCTTTGGTGGTCTTGGATGTGCATGCGCGTGATGTGCTCGCGGAGATAGTTGAAAATGAAGTCTCAGATGCTAATGACTTCCAATGGCTATCACAAGTGGGTCTTAGTTCAATTGTAGTAGAGCAAGATTTTCCTTAATATCCCGACTTTCCATTGCAGCTTCGTTACTACTGGGAAGATAATAATCTGGATACGCGTATGATTAACAGTTCTCTGAAGTATGGCTACGAATATTTGGGCAACACCACACGCCTGGTAGTTACACCGCTCACAGATCGCTGTTATCGTACACTTTTTAGTGCGTTGAATTTGCACTTGGGTGGTGCACCCGAAGGGCCTGCTGGTACCGGTAAAACAGAGACCACCAAAGATTTGGCCAAAGCTGTGGCCAAACAATGTGTGGTCTTCAATTGTTCTGATGGCTTGGATTACATTGCTTTGGGCAAGTTCTTCAAGGGCTTGGCTTCGTGTGGTGCTTGGTCCTGCTTTGATGAATTCAATCGTATTGATTTGGAAGTGCTGTCTGTGGTGGCCCAACAGATCCTTACCATACAACGTGGTATTAATTCGGGTAGTCCTACTTTGGTGTTTGAGGGCACCACCTTGACATTGGATCCTACGTGTGCGGTATTCATTACCATGAATCCCGGTTATGCAGGGCGTTCTGAATTGCCTGATAATTTAAAGGTATGTACTTGATTAGGACAAGCTTTCAAGAGAGAAATAGCGAAGTGAGAAAAAAACTTATGAGCTTTTGCATATAGCTTTGGATCTCATTTGCTGTTGGCAGCTCAAAGGGTTTACACATAAACTGATCATAGAATAACTTTTGGGCACCGTACGGACTTTCATTTTGTATGTGGATATATTTCTTCTTGTCTCACTTGCTTTTAGGTTAAAGATTTCACTGAACGCTCATTTAATATTAAGATAAAATAAAGATATAAAATTTAATAAATAGATTGTTCTTATCATCAACATATTCCTTCAGGCTCTTTTCCGTTCCGTCGCCATGATGGTGCCCGATTATGCGCTTATCTCCGAGATTGAGTTGTACTCATATGGTTTCCTTACCGCCAAACCCTTAAGTGTGAAAATCGTCGCCACTTATCGCTTATGTTCGGAGCAGTTGAGTACACAGTGTCATTACGATTACGGTATGCGCGCAGTTAAATCGGTCTTGAAAGCAGCTGGTGCACTCAAACTACGCTATCGTGATGAAAATGAAGACATTCTCGTGTTGCGTTCCATTAAGGATGTGAATTTACCCAAATTCCTCAATCAAGACGTGCCCTTGTTTCAAGGCATCACGTCGGATTTGTTTCCTGGCACGGTTTTACCTGAAGCGGATTATGTTGTTTTTAATGAATGCACGCGAGAGGCTTGTGAAAAGAATAATAAACAGTGTACGGACTTTTTCTTGGAGAAGGTTCAACAGGTGAGTCCATAGATTGAAAAGAAATCATTTTTTTGTCTCATTTATCTTTACCTACCAGCTTTACGAAATGATTTGCGTACGTCACGGTCTAATGATTGTCGGTTTGCCTTTCGGGGGCAAGACCACAACTTATCGTATACTAGCCGAAGCTTTGGAGGGCATGGAGAAAAAAGTAAGTGTTGGAAATGTTGCGTTAAACTCCTTGCCTAATTTTTTGTAACCCTTCATGCTTAGGATGGCAGCGAGAATCGTGCAATTTACTGCGTGATGAATCCCAAAGCCATCACTATGGGCCAGCTGTATGGACAATTCGATGCGGTGTCGCACGAGTGGAGCGATGGCGTACTTGCTGTTAATTACCGTCAATTCGCCATTTCTGAAACGCCCGATCGCAAATGGTTGATCTTTGATGGCCCGGTTGATGCAATCTGGATTGAAAATATGAACACCGTGCTGGATGATAACAAAAAGCTCTGTCTCATGTCTGGTGAAATTATACAGCTTTCGCCGACAACAAATTTAATATTCGAACCAATGGATTTAGAGGTCGCTTCACCAGCTACAGTGTCGCGCTGCGGCATGATTTATATGGAACCTAGCTCTTTGGGTTGGGAGCCTTTAGTCACATCGTGGAAGAATAGCTTGCCGCCTTCCTTCCACGTCGTGAGTAAACAGCTTATCACCTCGCTTATAGCACGCTTTTGTCCGCTTTTGCTGCACATTGTACGAAAGGGTGGCTTATACGAGATAGCGCCTACTTCGGATACCAATCTCATTGTATCGATGATGAATATCTTTGAATGTTTCATAGACGACTTTAAAGACGAAAAATATGTGACCAATCTATCTGATTTAGATTTTCGTGCACAGATTGAGGGCGTATTTGTATTCTCCTGTATTTGGGCTCTTGGTGGTGCTTTGGACTCACGTAGTCGTGAGAAGTTCAACATTGTTTTCCGTGCGCTGATGGAAAAGAATTTTCCTGAGAATTTGTATCAAGATTTTGGTGTGCCGGAGGAGCTCTATGTATCCGTATTGACTAAACCCTTCATTTTTCCAATACCGAAAGCTGGCTCGGTGTTCGATTATCGTTTTATTAAAGAGGGCAAGGGCAAGTGGAAGCCTTGGCAGGATGATGTTACCAGTGCAGCACCTATACCGCGCGACATACCAGTGAATCAAATACTCATTGTAACCAATGAGAGTGTGCGTGTTACGGCGGTGTTGGATCTTTTAGTGCGGCACGGCAATCCCATAATGCTGGTGGGACCCACCGGCACAGGCAAAAGTTGTTATGCTTTGGATTATATGCTGAAGAAGATGGATGTCAATACATACAAACCACTATTGATCAGTTTCTCGGCACAAACCTCGGCAAATCAGACACAGGATATTATCATGTCGAAGCTGGATAAACGACGTAAAGGGGTTTTCGGACCGCCACTAAATAAAAAGTTCCTCATATTCGTCGACGATGTATCAATGCCGCTAAAGGAAACCTATGGCGCACAACCACCAATAGAGCTGCTGCGCATGATGCTGGATCACTGGATGTGGTACGATCGCAAGAATATAGTGCCTATGAAGTTAATCGATCTGCAGATGATAACAGCAATGGGACCACCATCCACGGGCAATACCGTTACACCACGTTTCCAGCGACATTTCAATGTGCTCGCCATAGATGAGTTCAATAATGATATTTTAAATACGATCTTCAGCAAGATCGTGCTTTGGCATTTGGATACACGGTGAGTAAAGACAAAGTTTGGAATGCCTTTATATTAGAATATTTCCTTTGCAGTGGATTCTCAAAAGAATTTGATCCTTGTATCGAAGAAATTGTTTCGGCTACGTTGAACATTTACAATGAAGCGAAGAAGAATTTACTACCCACACCAGCCAAGTCACATTATCTCTTCAACTTGCGTGACTTCTCGCGTGTTATACAAGGTGTACTGTTGTCAGTGCCTGAAGCAACCGAAGATTTGGACTCCATGCGTCGGCTGTGGGTACACGAAGTGATGCGCGTTTATGGCGATCGTTTAGTGGAGGATAGCGATCGTAATTGGTTATTCGGCGCAATTTGTGACAAAATCAATAAGCACATGAATAGCACACCTGAGATGCTGTTCGAACGACTCGTGCCAAAGGGCGAAATACTAACCGAATCAGATCTACGCAGATTAATCTATTGTGATTTTGCCAATCCAAAAGCGGACAATAAGAATTACCTTGAGGTTTTAGATCTTGAAAGTTTGCGTAATGTAGTGGAAGCGTACTTGGTTGAGTATAATAATATGTCGAAAAAACCCATGAACCTAGTACTCTTCCGCTTTGCAATCGAACATTTGTCGAGAATATGTCGCATAATAAAGCAGCCACGTAGTCATGCTCTACTCATCGGAGTCGGTGGCTCCGGACGTCAGAGCTTAACTCGTTTGGCTTCGCATATATGTGACTATGAACTCTTTCAAGTTGAAATCACTCGTCTGTATGGACCCAATGAATGGCATGAGGACATAAAAAATATACTACGCAGAGTCGGTGCATCCGAGATGCATGCAGTATTTTTGTTTACAGATGTGCAGGTGAGTGTTCGAAATAATTCAGTATTAGCCATAGAGTATATAAATCCAGAATTTAATCATTATTTTATACTACTTTCGTATATATGTATAAACCCACAATTCACAGATAAAAGACGAGTCTTTCTTGGAAGACGTGAATAATTTACTTAACTCTGGCGAAGTGCCCAATTTGTTCAGCAATGAGGATAAGATTGAAGTGGTTGAGAAAATGGCACAGATCGATAAGCAACGTGACAAATCCCTACAAACCGATGGCAGCCCGGTAGCGCTCTTCAACTTTTTCGTTACGGTAATTTTGAGATAGAGAAAAGGAAATCATCATTTTACTATCTTTTCTTAACTTTCTTCTTAGACCTGTCGCGATCAACTGCACATTGTGCTCGCCATGTCACCGATTGGCGATGCTTTGCGCATGCGTATACGTAAATTCCCTTCCATTGTCAATTGCTGCACTATCGACTGGTTCCAGCCGTGGCCTGAAGACGCTTTGTTGGCTGTATCGACACGATTTTTAGCTAGCGAAGATCTTTCAGATTTGGAACGAAAGACAGCTATTGATATGTGCATGGAATTCCACACTTCTACGCAGAATTTATCAGAAATATTTGCATTGCGTCTGAAACGTTATAATTATGTTACGCCTACTTCATACCTGGAGCTAATTCAGACTTTTAAAGCCTTACTCAATCAGAAGAGAACGTAAGTGGGATTGTGTGTATGTTTTTGTCGAAAGATTCGGGAAGGTTAACAACGGTGCGCGACTCATTTCTTCTCCCAAATGTGGGTTCGGGATTCAAGCGACTAAAATCCAATAGTTCCCGCGACAGTCGGGTCTTTATACTGGAACGACCCGGATATTTTATCAGGCCAAGGACTGTTACACCCGCAACAATCCCCAAAAATTGCTTTAAGGAATATTTTTGCTGTTACAGCAACAACAAAACCGATTTCTTCTCCTTTTTCATATTGAGAATACCAATCAACGTTCCAAAATCAATTAATTTCTCTTATTTTGTTTATCTATCCACGCCGAACCGTGCTTAAGATTTCGAAGTATGCTGAAAATGTGCCTTTTGTCTATCACAAAGTGGCTAACTTGGATTTTCGAGCAGGTTTCAAACATAGTTTAAAATCGCTTCGAAATTGATCATTCCTTGGTGTCAAAGTTAGGTCTGGAAACGAGCACAACGTAGCTCATTGGGTTGCAATGTACTCGGTTGTATCGTCTTGCTTAGCTCCTCCTAAAAATAAGCAAAGTGAGCTTGTGGCATCGAAGTCATCTAACTAGAGGACTAGTAAGAAGCTGATGAGTGAGTTTTAGTGAGCTGGTTGCTATTGTACGTGAATTCATGTCATGCATGACATACGTTAAGTATGTCGACGTCAAGTCTGGATAGGTAGGAGTCAAGTCTCTCAGAGTATTCGGACCTTTATTGTGCCAGTATTTCTTGGGTCTTGATTGTTGGCTTCCGCCAACCGAGAAGACTATTTTTAAAAGTGCTGACAAATTCTATAAAAGACGTTTACGTCGTGTCTGGAAATAGCCCTATACAGCAGTTCTGTTATGTGGTACGTGGACATTGCTTATAAAGCAAACCATTGTCATACTCTTTAACTGGGGGTATAGATGTTTGACTGCGTAAGTAATGCATATGTCTGTGACATTCGGAGATTTACCGTTACGATCCTCAGACTGGTGCTCTCACATGCTTTTAGCTTCTTCATATTCTTATGGCGTACGTAAAGATCGGCCGAGCGAATTGGCTTCCCATGGGGCTTTAAAATGGAATCATAATCATATTTTCGATTTTTGACGTTGCCGGCTCACAACTCAATTCGAGTCGGTACTCCTACGTCCAGCTGGTGAAGAGGCTAGTCGAAGTTGTAGTTGTAACTATCATGCAGTGGAGAAGTGCGGAAGGTCGACGAGATAACAGTCTTCGGTATATGAAAACACTGAAACGTCCTGTGGCGGTGGAGGGAGTTAATTAATTTTCCGGAGCTTTGAGTTTCAACTTCGAAATTCTACCTATGACTGTCGACCACTCGGGTAATTTATAGCTTATCTCTTCCATTCTGACGGTAATGATATTCCCTCAAAAACTCATTTTCGCACAGCGTGTTTGACTCTGTTAAAGGCTTTTGGCAGATCGAGGTCTACCATGGTTATATCGCAGGATCGATTTTGGTTAAGCTAATGGATTATCTGGTTGTTCATTGCATTAAGTGTGTTTATAGTGTGGAAGCCATGCTGATATGCTGCTGGGTTCAGATGGTGAATGAAAGGCGGGAAAAGCAAAACCTCATGCGAAGTCTAATAGTTTCAGTCCATTTAGTAAGGTCTCGCCCTAAACAGTGTTAAATGATTTTAAAATCGTCAGATCTAATAAATGTTCTCCAAGCACTCTTAAAAGACTTATTTAGGGACGTAGTCGTTTACTTCCCACTGTGTAGGCATCTATTCACAGGGATGAGCAGTAATCTCAAATAAGTAACTGACTATTTTAGGGACATGCCATTAAACTGTGGTCTTTGTCTCGATTGACCTAACATCTTGGGTTTATTGTTAGGATTTTTATTGAATTAGTTTTTTAGGTGTTGCGTTCTAAGCCCTAACGAGCCTCAGCTCGTTTCTCAAGTTCTCCATAGTCTTTGGACATATCTGTTTCTATAGGACGTCTCTTGTCGTCGTAACCACATTTTTGATGAACTGACATGGAGATAAGACTTTAATATATTCTTAAAATGAGTATGTCGGAGTGGTATACTTGCTCTTAGCAAAGTTCCTTTTGTAACAAGTTTTATGAATCCAAATTTAGGATTTACATAATTTTCCCTTATTTGTCAGCACCATTTTGACCAACAAAAATCGTTATTTAACTGGCATATCTCAACTCGACATCGCTGCTCAGCAAGTCGGTGTTATGCAAGAAGAACTGCAGGCTTTGGAGCCTAAACTCAAGGAAGCCTCAGAAATTGTAAGCAACCGAATGTCAAATCAAATGTTTACTTTTCTCACGCAAATCCACATTTTTCCTTCGCAATTAGGTGGCTGAGCAAGTGGCTAAAGTAACGGCCGATAGTAAGATCGCCGCCGAACAGCGCGAATTGGTTAAGCAGGATGAATTGGTGGCTACCGAACAGGCAGGCAAAGCGCAAGCAATCAAAGACGAATGCGATGCTAAGTTGAGCGAGGCGCTGCCTATTTTAAATGCAGCACTTGCTGCTCTCAACACTTTAACCACAACCGATATTGCCGTTGTCAAGACAATGAAGAGTCCACCGATTGGTGTGCGTATTGTAATGGAAGCTGTATGTATATTGAAAGATGTCAAACCAGACAAAGTGCCCAACCCGTCGGGTCTAGGCACTATAGAAGACTACTGGGGCGCCTCGAAGCGTGTGCTGAGCGATATTAAATTCTTGGATAGTTTAATAAATTTCGACAAAGACAATATACCACCGCACGTCATGCAGAAGCTGGCACAGCGTGTGCTAAGCAATGAAGCTTTCGATCCGGATAAGGTGAAGTCGGCTTCTACCGCCTGTGAGGGTTTGTGTCGTTGGGTGATTGCCTTAACCAAATATGATGTAGTTGCTAAAGTGGTGGCGCCGAAAAAAATCGCATTAGCCGCCGCCGAGGCTGAGTATAATGTATGTAGATTTCACTTTTTTCTCTCTCCATAAACATATGTATGTATGTATGTATGTAAATATTAAATAAAAAAATATATTTTATTCAACATTATTCAAATTCAGGCCGCCATGAAGCTACTGAATGAAAAGCTGGCGCAGTTGGCACGCGTGGAAGCGAATTTGGCGGCTATTCAAAAGAAATTAGACGAAGAACTGGCACAATATGCGTAGGTTGAATAATTCTGCCAGCCACAAATGGCGTAAAAAACTGTATAAGCACAAAGTTTTTTTTATTCATTTTCATATTCAGCATACTACAGGGACAACATGAGGCGTGCACCAAGAAATTACAACGCGCTCAAGAGTTGATTTCTGGTTTGGGTGGCGAGCGCACGCGTTGGTTGGAAACGGCAAGGACCTTGGGTCGCGTATATAACTCATTAACAGGCGACGTGCTGATTGCATCTGGTGTTGTTGCTTACCTGGGTCCCTTCACTATTGACTATCGCGTTGGTCAAATTCACCAGTGGGTGCAAAAGGTTGCTTCGTATGGTGTGGTGTGCAGCGCGGATTTCTCGTTGGCCGTAGTTTTGGGCGAAGCAGTGGAAATACGAGAATGGAATATTTGCGGGTTGCCAACGGACGCGTTTTCAGTGGAGAGTGCGATAATACTGAAGTAAGTTCTAGTTATGTACTAAGTTCTAGAGTTCTTTTAACATGAAAGTTGCATTCGACTTTGTCCAATCCAGTTGAGGTCTTAAATTAATTGAGATAAATTTAGTTGTATGGACGATGAACGTTAATTTTGCCATGCCTTTCTATCCATCTTTCTGTCCGTGCAACGGACACCACCTAGCCAAGATTTCCTAACTTTGGAATCGTGAGACAGTATTTCACAAGATCTTTCTTATAGTCAGTTTTCACCGAAGCAAGGTAAGTGTAAGGCTAAGCCTTGCACACTGCTCAAAGAAATTTGACAAAGTTTAATACAACTCTTGCGAAATAGCGGTAAAGTGCTCCTTTGCAAAATATGGACGGATGAAAGCATGCGCGTCGATTGGAACCTAAGTGTGCTCTGCCCAATCCACAAAAAAAGCAATCCCACAGTCTGCGCCAACTACCGTGGAATAACCACGGTCAACAAACTGATTGGACCTTATCAGTGTGGCTTTAGACCTGGTAAGCCAACCATAGACAAGATATTTACCGAGCGCCACATCTTGAAAAAAAGTAATTAAAAGAGAATCGACGCACACCAACCCCTTCGTCGATTTTAAACCTGCTTTCTCCAGCACGTAAAGGAGCTGTCTCTACACCGCTAAGTCTTAATTAGGGATCCCCGCAAAACTTATTCGGCTGTGTAAACTGACGCTGGACAACAGCAGAAGCCCAGTAAGATTTGGGAAGAACCTCTCCGAGTCGTTCGATACCAAACGAAGTTTCAGAGAGGGTGACTCTTTTTCATGTGATCTATTCCATCTGATGCTGGAGTAAATAATAAGAACTGCAGAGCTGTGGGTACAATCTTTTATAATAGCCAATGAAAATGACATCATTGGCCTCCAAAAGCGCGCCGTGAGTTTAGCTTGCTCTGAACTCGATAAGGAAGCGACGGATATGGGTCTGGTAGTAAACGAGAACAAGACGAAATATCTCCTGTCATTAAACAAATAGTCATCGCATTCGCGACGTGGCTCCCACTGTTTACAGTCCTAACTTTGAAGTCGAAAATAATTTCGTCTATCTAGAAACCAGCATTAATACCAATAATAACGTAAGTCTTCAAATCCAAAGCACAATCACTCTTGCCAACAGGTGCTACTTTGTACTGAGTAGGCAATTGAAAAGTAATATCCTCTCTCGGTGAACGAAAACCAAACTCTACCTGTCGTTCATCATACCCGTCCTGCAGTATGGCGCAGAAGCGTGGACCATGTCAATATCTGAACAGTAGGCTCTAGGGGAGTCTTTGACAGAAAACTTTTGCAAACGATTTATGGTCCTTTGCACATTTGGCAACGGCGAACACCACAGACGAAGGAACAATGAGCTGCACGATTTATACGATGATATTGACATAGTTCAGCGAATGAAAAGATAGCGACTACCCTGGCTATCGTCATATCGTCCGAATGGATAAAAGCACTCCAGCTTTGAAAGTATTCGATGCAGTACCCGCTACTGAAAGCAGAGGAAGAGGAAGACCTCCACTCCGTTGAAAGGATCAGGTGAAGAGTGACCTGGCTTCACTTGGTATTTTCAACTGCTGCCGACTAAGGAAACAGTTTATTTTGGCCAAAAGATTCAAGTTTTGGCAAGTGCTTTCAATTATTTCGAAACATATTTCTCTGCCACATGATCTAATCGATATGCCAACATCATCAGCATCATCTCTAATTCTCAATCGGTGATCGTTCATAAATATTTTCTTTAATTTTTAATTTAAGAGAGTTTGTCAAACTAGATAGAGGGCACCACCAATAAAAATACGTCTTGTATTTGAGAACTGCTAGCTTTTATTAGACTACTGTTGAAATTTGAACGAAATTCGTTAACTGGTCTATGAGCTTTATATATGTAGCTTGACGGCTACTAATCTCGTAAAATTTTTGTAGACATGAAAAAAAGTGATTTTTTTGCTGGAAATAACTTTCCCCAGATGGAAGTTGAGCTTAGAAACTTTCTCGGACTCCGCTCTATCACATAGAATAATTAATAAGTGGCTTACAGATCGAGTGTGGTAGAACGGACAGCGAGAACGTCCTTTGGGCTAGACGTCCGATTGCAGTAAACACTCAAGATATGATAAACAAAATGAAAGTGCGTGAGATAGTTATGATCGCCACCATCTCATTTGAACATGTGTTAAATATTTTGCATAAACACCGTCATTTGAAAGCTTAGCTGAAAACCGCTTTACAGGCTACTAAGCGCCAGTTTTCGCTTTAAATTGATTTATCATTATTAAAATTGTTCTATTTATATCAAATATGCGCCGCATTGCTTGATACTTTTCTTTGCATTTTAAAGGTAATATCATTATGTCTCATAGAAACTCTTGTTGCTATTGGCAAAAAATTGGAACAATCGATCTCCACAGGCTCCTCTTGAGGGCAATTCTACGCAAGCCTAATCATTCCCCATATTTAGAAATAGATGGTAATCACTTGGCGCGAGGTACGGGCTACAAGGTGGATACACAAAAATCTCCCAACCAAGGTCCCGGAAGTTCTGGCGAGTTACTATCCATGTATGTCATCTGGCTTCGTCTGTTGGCCAAAGCTTGGTGCTTCAATGCGTTTGCTACCTTCAGACGGTTCAGTTACGTACAGTGCAGGTCCGAATTAAGAGTTTGGTAGTATTAGAGCAGCTCGTAGTGGATGATTCCTTGACAATTGAACCATACACACAAAAAACCTTAATGACGATTAGTCCTGGCGACCGGCTCTGCCGGTTGACTGCCCTTTCACCACGACCGTTTTCATTTGATTTTGCTGTAAGTGATACACTTTTTTTTACAAGTCACCATCCGCTTGAACAATTCGTAGAGTTAACGATTTAGCAACGTTTCGCAGATGTAAATTCGGTCCAGGAGGTTTTTTTCGCGTTAACCCATATAGCAGCCATAGCATCGAGCTCTTTTGTGTATCCTGCCATTCTCAAATGATTCCAAATTGTTCTTCGTGCAATGTTTAGATCCTGGGTAATTCATACAATATTGTTTTTGGAAATTTATTTAAGCATAAGAGTGGCGCTTTGTGCTTTTAATTAAACTTTTTTCCAACAGGCTTATTTAAAGAGACTGTAAACTCAATTTAGGCTTTAGAGTTACGAAAAAATGCAGTTGAGGATGCGGGGAAACATCACACACATACATACATCTTTGTGACAGAAAATGAGGCATTTTATTAAAAATTTTATGGCGAACCACATACATATGTATGTACATATTTTTTAATACTTTCCTGCTGCCCACATACTGTACATACCAAACTTATTTCTAAACACAAACACCAAAACTAATGCATACGCTTAATAAAAATGCTTTAATCTAGCAAGACGCATTAATCAATTCGTTTTTCCTGCTATTGGAAGGTACAATGAATACGCCACTACAAAACCTTCAATTTACAAACATATGTATGCATGTACATTTGTAAGCATGTAACTAAAGTACTCGTAAATGGAAGAATGTTCAAATTCGAGTGGTAATGTGCAGCAGAATTATTTAGTCTTACCTACAGCCACCGAAACTGCACAGCTTAGTTGGGATTGCTGAATCGTGCAGTCGAGTCGATTGCCACCTTACCTTACGGGATTATTAGGGGGAAATACGGTAAATCTAGTAGCAGATGCGTGGCATAGAAGGAAACATGCGAAATGTGCCACAGGCAATGTGCTTGTTTGTTGCACGCAAGCCACCGTGGGATCTAGTATGTGCCACATGAATACAAATTTGTGTATGTACAAACAAAGGCATATTGGAAGATGTGAATACAACCATTGCCTCGCGTATTTATGCTTCAGCAACCCCCACCAACTAGCCGCGTTGCAGCATCCGTTCAATGCCACAGCCACAGCCACAGCCGTCGTTCAAATATGCGTGAACTTTTGTATTTTATGTTTTGTAATTAGAAAATGTTAGGCAGGAGAAACTGAGCATGCGATGATGTTTTGCAATTATTGAAATAACTGTATAACAACAAAGTCTACATTAAGGTGGCTGTGTTCTTTTGTTATTAACTGGAAACTACGAAGATTCGAGTTTACTTTTTTCTATGAGTGAATTATGATCGCCCTAATGTACAAGCATACATTCATTCATACACACGAATTTTCATTAATATTCCACTGTCACATTGGTACAAATATGTAGTAGAAATTTGCGCATTAGGAGGTAAGTAGTGGAGAAATTGCTAAAATTTGTTGAGCTGAGTTTTCTTTGCGGCTACTTTGAACTGGAATTCAAAATTTATATTAATTATATTGCTGCTTACGTAGATTCATTAGATTGGGTTAACATGGCTACTAAGCTACCCCCAGGCTGTTTAGCTGTTTCAAAATCTATATGTACATAACTACTTTACTCAGGCTCAACTTGGAAAAAGATACTGTTACCCGAGCTAACGGCTCATAACAAGTATTTGTGTATTGAAATAAATTTTATATTTATTTTTTATTTTAATTTTTATATTACAAAAAAAAAATAAATTAATTGCTTTTAATTGTTGTAGTATTTCATTTCATTACCCCTTATTTATTTTTTTCTATTTTTCCATAATATAAAACTGATATTATTTTATTTTTTATATTGTATATTAATTTATTAATGTATTTATTGCTGCCGCAAAGTTTAGCGATTAGCTATCAGTCGTGATCCGATCACCAGACGAAACTTTGAAAATTAATTTCTGTTGGTCAACTCGTCTGGGAATGTCTACCCCTCCGAGCGTATTTCTGAAGTGAATTAAAAGCTCCTCATAAATATCCATCGACCGTTCGGACGCGGCTTGGAATAAACTGTAGGATTGTCAGTTTGTCCATTTCAACCTCAACTGCGAGTTGCTTAGTCTTACGCAAAAGCCAAAGACGGAATATTTGTCTGATATTACAAAACTAATGTCCGAGCAGCGTGTGCATCTCAATGCTGCTCATTTACTTACTTTCTTATTTACTTAACTGGCGTAGACACCGCTTACGCGACTATAGCCGAAATAACAACATTACGTCATTCGTTTCTTATTTTCGCTGTTTGTGCCAATCGGAGGAACAACCATCTCTACCTGGTCTTTCCAACGGAGTAAAGGTCTTACTCTTGCTCTGCTTCTGGTCCCCAGATAGACGAACTTATCTACGCCCTCGAAGTTATGACTGTCAACTGTGACGTGGAAGCCAAGTGGCTAATGCAATGACTGTTTGTTTGAGGTCAGGATATATTTCGTCTTGTTCTCGTTCACTACCAGACCCATATCCATCGCTTCCTTATCGAGTGATGTCAATGTTATCGGCGTGCGCCAGCAGCTTACACTCTTATAGAGAATCGTACTTTCCCTATTCAACGCTGCAGCTTTTATTGTTTTCTATAGCATCAGAAAATTACACGTTACGAGGTCATCCTGTCTAAAACCTCTTTTGGTATCGAAAGGCTCGGAGAGGTATTGTATTTCCCGATTCTGATGTAGCTTTTTGCGTCGCTTAAAGTCAGTTTACATAGCCGTACAAGTTTTGCGAGGATAGAGGCAGCTCTTTTTTCGTGCTGTCGAAATCGACGAAAAAGTGGTTTTCTAAGATTTGGCGCATGGTTAATGATTAGACCCAATCTTTTTGTAGACGGTGGGCTTTAGTCTTTCCCACAATAGGCTCGAAAGGAGCTTATATGGGATATTAAAAACGCTTATTCCACGGCATTTGACGCAGAGTACACTTAAATTCCAATCGCCGGTCGTCCATATTCTGCAAAGTAGCTAAGTCTGCACGCCCCTTGTTGACTTTTCTTTACAATGCTTTAATAGCACCAGCCGCTTTGTTGTTCTTTAGGCGGGCAAGCGCTGTTCGGAGCTCGTCATAGTCTGCATCGTCTTTACCATCGTCATCGATTGGGGTGTCGTGTTCACCATCTCCGGGTGCTCCGTTTTCACTGTCATTCATCAGGAAGGAGAAGTGTTCCCTCCATAAATTCTCTCGGCTTCCCAAGCTTTTTATACTCACGCACCTCGTCCTCTTTCTTTTGATACGATAATTTATCGGATAATTTATTGGAATCAGCCGCATCAGACGATTATCGGAAAATTTTATCATATAGCCCCTTCCAAATAGTTTTTGCAGATAGGAGAAATAATATTTAATTCTTAAATTAAATATCATAAATTTAATAAGAGAAGAAAACTAGAGAAGGACTCTTCTTTCTTGTCTCTTGCAATTATGTTCTAATTACATAGCCTGAGCCTTTATAAAGTTGATTTCAAAATTTCAGAAACTCGCGACGCTGGCCATTAATGATTGATCCACAAGGTCAAGCTAACAAGTGGGTTAAGAATTTGGAGAAAAACAATCGACTCTGTGTGATACGACTGAACCAACCGGACTACACACGTGTGCTGGAAAATGCAATACAATTCGGCTTGCCGGTTCTGCTAGAAAATGTCGGTGAAGAACTAGATCCGCTGCTAGAATCAATATTACTAAAACAACTCTTCAAGCAAGGTGGCACATTATGCATTAAACTGGGCGACTCGGTGATAGAATACAATCATGCATTTAAGTGAGTAAAATTACTACCATACATACATATATACGATTATAATTTTTTACTTATTTTCTGTTTCACATAGATTTTATATCTCCACAAAACTACGTAATCCACATTATCTACCTGAAGTTGCAGTCAAAGTGACTGTTTTGAATTTCATGATCACCACACAAGGTTTACAAGATCAATTGCTGGGCATAACAGTAGCACGTGAGCGACCCGACTTGGAGGCGGAAAAGAATACGTTAATCGTGCAAGGAGCTGAAAACAAGCGTATGTTGAAGGAAACTGAAGATAAGATTCTCGAAGTGCTTTCATCAGCTGAGAACATACTAGAGGATGAAACTGCTGTGCAGATTTTGAGCTCATCTAAAGCATTAGCCAATGATATCAATGAGAAACAAATTGTCACCGAAGCCACCGAGCGGCAAATTGATGTAGCCCGTTTGAGTTATGTGCCAATTGCAGCACACTCGACTATACTCTTTTTCACCATTGGTGAGTGTTGGCTTTTAGTTTCAGTAATGATTATGTTTTCTGTCCCCGTTCACGTTGGTTCTCCCAACACAAAACATATAATAGACGTTGCTCTGTAGTGGTCAATTAAGGCACAGTCGCTTGAATGTCAACATAGATCATCGATGCTTAATAATGTCATGAAAGCGTAAAGGTATAGTTTTCTCTCCAAATACAGGTTAATATTGTTACGGTTAAGTGTTGATGTGATGTGATGTGATTTGATGTGATGTAATGACGTGATATATAATACAGTACATCTCAGCACTGTGTCGAGTTTTTATTTCTAATTTGTTTGCTCCAAATGCTTAGCTTTGTAGTCACAACAACGATAAGCAATAATCCTGTAAATAGTGTTGAAATGTTGAAAAAATCCGATATAGAGCTCCAGATATTAGGACACTGCGGAAATGCTTCTCTGAAATTTTCGAAAGCTCGTGGTTTTAGTTTATGTGAAGAAGAAACGAATGGCGAGCTATTGAAAATTGTATTGACATATTCTGCAGAAAAACTAATTATTTTTCATATTCTCATTACTTCCAAGGATTTGAAAATGCTTTCTTTAATAAAGAAATATCGTAAATAAGGAAAATAAATCATTATGGTTGACTTATGTTTATCATTTCAAAACATTTATTCTACGGCTATGGGATGGGGTAACCCCTAATACATTTAAAATAAATTCTTTACTTTTTATTGTACTCATAAAATGTTCTCTGGAAATAATTTATCTGACAAAATTTACATAGTCAGCTGCTTATCTTAGATATTGTGCATGCGTAATAATATATATGTACGTACATAAACAAAATTCATATCCTGTGGTCAATTACATTTCACAACAAAGAATATTCAATTTTCAACATCTCGAGTGAGTATGCCCTTGTGTTCCTATTGTAAATTAATTAAAATATTGAAAAAGAATTCCACAGTTCAATTAGTAAATGGTTTCAATTGAATAAGTTCTTTATCTTCTTTTCCAAAGTACAACTAATTTATTTAATTGATTTTCTATCAGTGTTGACTAGTTATTTTCATTTCATATAAAGGTCCTGAACACAGAACTTCTTTTAAATAATGCTACTTTCAATATTTTTTTATTATACAAAAACAAACTAAATATTTGCCAACACGGTTTGATTAAAACAAAATTTATATTCAGGTTTATTGTAATTTTGGTTTTATTTTAATTTCAGTCGAATTGGCAAACATTGATCCCATGTATCAGTACAGCCTTTCATGGTTTGTTTCTCTGTTCACCGCTTCTATTGACAATACCGACAAAGTGGATGATATTGAAGAGCGTTTGAAGGATTTACGTGTACACTTTACATACAGTTTGTATGTCAATATATGTCGCAGTCTGTTTGAGCGGGTAAGCAAATGTTAAAGTTTAATTTGTAAGATAAAATAAAATAAAATAAAATAAAATAAAATCAACTGAAATAAAATAAAATAAAATAAAATAAAATAAAATAAAATAAAATAAAATAAAATAAAATAAAATAAAATAAAATAAAATAAAATAAAATAAAATAAAATAAAATAAAATAAAATAAAATAAAATAAAATAAAATAAAATAAAATAAAATAAAATAAAATAAAATAAAATAAAATAAAATAAAATAAAATAAAATAAAATAAAATAAAATAAAATAAAATAAAATAAAATAAAATAAAATAAAATAAAATAAAATAAAATAAAATAAAATAAAATAAAATAAAATAAAATAAAATAAAATAAAATAAAATAAAATAAAATAAAATAAAATAAAATAAAATAAAATAAAATAAAATAAAATAAAATAAAATAAAATAAAATAAAATAAAATAAAATAAAATAAAATAAAATAAAATAAAATAAAATAAAATAAAATAAAATAAAATAAAATAAAATAAAATAAAATAAAATAAAATAAAATAAAATAAAATAAAATAAAATAAAATAAAATAAAATAAAATAAAATAAAATAAAATAAAATAAAATAAAATAAAATAAAATAAAATAAAATAAAATAAAATAAAATAAAATAAAATAAAATAAAATAAAATAAAATAAAATAAAATAAAATAAAATAAAATAAAATAAAATAAAATAAAATAAAATAAAATAAAATAAAATAAAATAAAATAAAATAAAATAAAATAAAATAAAATAAAATAAAATAAAATAAAATAAAATAAAATAAAATAAAATAAAATAAAATAAAATAAAATAAAATAAAATAAAATAAAATAAAATAAAATAAAATAAAATAAAATAAAATAAAATAAAATAAAATAAAATAAAATAAAATAAAATAAAATAAAATAAAATAAAATAAAATAAAATAAAATAAAATAAAATAAAATAAAATAAAATAAAATAAAATAAAATAAAATAAAATAAAATAAAATAAAATAAAATAAAATAAAATAAAATAAAATAAAATAAAATAAAATAAAATAAAATAAAATAAAATAAAATAAAATAAAATAAAATAAAATAAAATAAAATAAAATAAAATAAAATAAAATAAAATAAAATAAAATAAAATAAAATAAAATAAAATAAAATAAAATAAAATAAAATAAAATAAAATAAAATAAAATAAAATAAAATAAAATAAAATAAAATAAAATAAAATAAAATAAAATAAAATAAAATAAAATAAAATAAAATAAAATAAAATAAAATAAAATAAAATAAAATAAAATAAAATAANAAATGAAATGAAATGAAATGAAATGAAATGAAATGAAATGAAATAAAATGAAATGAAATGAAATGAAATGAAATGAAATGAAATGAAATGAAATGAAGTGAAATGAAATGAAGTGAAATGAAATGAAATGAAATGAAATGAATTGAAATAAAATGAAATGAAATGAAATGAATTGAAATGAAATAAAATGTATTACTATTGTGAGAACCGCAAAAAAAAAACTAAATGCATGACATTAAGACTAGCAGTAAATATTTTTTGTCTATTTGAGACTACCTAAGTAGTCGACCAGCGTAACCTAACCTTACTTATCTTTCCTTCCTTGTACTGTTGATAGCACAAATTCTCTAACCGAAGCGCAAAGGAATCATTACAATAAGTTTTTCGAATATACTTTGTTCTTCGTTTCCTTTTTAATGGAAAAATGTAACAGTTTTTTGTATTACATATTCATATGTAAATCAACGCATAATCCCATTAACCAAATCCTTGTATCATTAAAGACCATTCTTCAAAGTCTGTTTCATTACATCAAGCCTATCAGCGGATCTTTCTATAAATCTTATTTGCTTTTCTTTTACACACACTTCAAGATATGTTTGTTTAATTACCCAACGAACATAATTATTTCTACTCTCAGTCGATTTTTATCATATGATAATATATCGGTGATGTTAAGCTCGTTGAAAATGGACTAGGCGGTCACTTTTCTTGGTGTCTTTACTTTACAGTGGTCGGAAATTCAGATTAAAGCTGCTACTCTAGCCATTATAATACTCATTGAAACACAGTTGCTCGCTTCGAACGCTTATCTACCTCTATTTCAGCTGCCGTGTTATTAGTCGGATATAACCAAACAAATTTGCAAAATGAATCCTCAACTACGAGTATGTAGTTGTACGTTTTGCCTGTACCACCGAAACGTCCGATTTGGTCGAAATGATATGTACCTAATGGTTTGTCCTCCTTGTCCATTAGATTCAGTAACCTTTTCTTTTTAATAAGAGGTGTTATTTCGATATTCAAAGAAACTTTCCCTTTAAAATATTGATGGTTTCGTTGATGGTGTGGCACTTAGCGGTGTCTTGTTAAAAGTAAAGTAGTCCAGATCAATACCATCCAATTCCGGCATTAAAAGATCAATAATCATCTCTCGATAGCGCAAACCTTTCATTTGAAAAAGTAAGTTCCAACGACCAACCGGACCATAAACTGCACCAAACAGTTACACGTTTAGGATGGCGAGGTTTTTCAACAATAAATCTTGAGTTTTCTGAGCCGCAGATACGACAGTTTTGTTTATTGACGTGGCCATCTAGGTAGAAATGGCCTTATCAGTGAAGATAATTTTTGGATGAAATTTCTATTAATATTTATGTTTCATTTTTATTACTTTGTATCATGCAATTTTATTTGATTGGAGAAAAATACATTTGTATGTATAATTTACTATAATTAAATAATTGATTAATATACAAATAAATCCGGGCCGTTTCTATTTATTCTTTCATCGAATTTAAACAATTTTTTCATTTCAGTGTTAACTTACTCAAAAAATATATACTCAATTCTAATTCTGAAATTATTTAAATAAAAATTTACTGATTTACTCAAGCTCACTTCGAATGCGACACCAAACACAGTTTTTTTGCTTATTGGGTATGCGCCTAAAAGATACCTTCAATTTCATACAGCCGTCCCGCTGGCGGTCGTTGTCTCTATTTATTTTCATTTTCTTGCTGAAATGTATCTCATTAATTTTCTACCGTTTATCTTTTCCGACTTGTTTCTTCGTCTTTGCTGTGTCATTACAATCCATTATCCTAGCGGTGGACGTTGTTCGAGTCCCTTCATATCCTTTGTGTTGGTGATTGTGCGTAAGCAGCAGTGTATGGTCGTAAATTACATAACTACACACGTATATATATTTATATATATGCAATAGTATATATTTTTGTGCTTTTATTGAATCATTTAATACTTCCCGTAAATATAAGAACGTAAAGGTCCGCGTACATACATATGTACGTATGTATTAATATAGGGATAATACTTGTTTGCTATTGGGCAAGATTGAAGCTTAAATGCAACATAAAATTGGTATACCATTTGTATGTATGTAGTATGAAAGAGGTTTTCAGAAAGGTTAAAAAACTTATAGATTTAAAGTTACATAATGCGCAAATAAAACTAAATTTACCGCTTTCAAAGTATTTACATACATAAATCCATATACACATATATATAATGTATGTATATATGTATAAAATATTGACTTTATTTGAAATCTAACTTATTGCCATTTTCATTTCAATTATTTTCAGGATAAGCTACTTTTCTCATTGATTCTAAATATAAACCTTATGAAAGCTGAAAATTTAATTGACAACCCAGAGTGGATGTTCCTATTAACCGGTGGCATTGGCTTAGATAATCCACATGCAAATCCCGCCCGTTGGTTGGGCGTTAATAGTTGGAATGAGATTTGTCGTCTCTCCGAACTGCCAAACTTTAAGGGATTACGTGAACATGTCACTGGCAATTTAAATGATTGGAAGTTATTTTTTGACTCGAAAACACCGCAAGACAATGCAGCAATGCCTACCACTTGGGCTAATAAATTGACACTGTTCCAAAAGTTATTGCTTTTGCGTGTTTTTCGTTCGGATAAATTGGTGCCGGCTGTGATGAAATTTGTTGGCGGTAAGTAATGTACTCTCGCTGGGGGATGGAGAAGGGGAGATAAATTATTTTTTTGAAAATCGGTACTTTCCGGATTAAAATGTCACGTTATTTCGTAGAAGAAACTTCTTTGATGTGTAGAATTCTTTTGAGTTCCATATTAAGAGAGTTAGCTCTGAAAAGCTTTCCTTGAGTTGATGCGGATAGATGACGTTTGGCATTTAGGCCAATAGGCCGCAGAGAGGCTTCTCTCTACCTGCCTTATAAAAGCAACGAGATTGTCAATTTTCGCTGAAGCTAGCTCAGAGAGACGGTCGAAGAAGTGTTTCCCGAGCTGTCATAGCAAGCCTTTAACAAAGGTAGTGTTTAATAGACTCTTTCTCATCTTCGTCGCCACGGTTGCGGCACAAATCATTCGATTTTTTTTTCCAAAGAAGCCTAATTAAACAGTGTCCTGTTATTACGCCTGTCTTTATGTTAATGGGGAAGCGGTCTAGAAGAATAAGATGTTTTGATTTTTTCGCTTCCACTTTTGCCCATGGCTGTGACAACTCGGAGTACCAGAAGATCCGGTACTAGCTAGATTCACGGTTCTGTTAAACTTCGTAAAAAGCATTGATCTCCTATATTTTGACCACCATCTCATATTAAAAGCGACCAACAGGTCTTCGCACGTAGCAGCAAGCAACTTAATCTCTAAGATGTTGGTACCCTTATGCATCCATAAGTTAATATGAACCACTTGCCAGGCAAAGAAGTCAGCGTGAAAAATTGATCCTTTATGTTCATGGAATTTTGGGTATCATAGTAACTGCTAGTGAAGAGTTTCAACTCTTGAGTCTACGCCTACTAATCTAACACCGTGTTTTGGTCCAACCTCTCGAAGCTGCTAGTTGTCTTTGCCGTAGGTTAGGTTAAGCGGGATTGGTCCATCACTTAGGAAGTCGCGGCGGTGCAATGAACATTGCAATATTGGATACTCGACATGCGGCTTATGCTATAGTGCTATACGTTTTTATTTAATGGGAATGTCGTCGATGTTCTCTTAGCAAAAAGAAGTATGTGATTCGGAGCCTTAACCACAGCTCACTAAAAGCCTTTTGAGTTTTCCTCAACCCGTCTTTTTACAACTAGCCATTTACATAGTTGATGGTCCATCACGCATTTGTATTTCCTGCATTCCTTGTTCTTAACCGGACTTAATTGAAGGCATGCGACTCTTAAAGGAAAAGTCCAGCCCAGAGTTTGTCCTCTTTGTAACCAATATAAACTTAGTAAGCTTCGCTTCATTCGTTTTATACATATAATTTTCGCTATCTTCAGCCAATTGTTCGTTATTATATGCTCTGTTAGTCTAAGTAAATAACTATGTCTGGTCCTGAAAGTACGCTCTTTTTAGGTAGATCAACCGTTGTTTTGTTTTCTTCGATGTCCAATACAGATTAACTCTTTCTTCTTGCACCTTAGCGAAATCTGTTATGTCTTCCTTTATTGTAAATGAATTGACGCTTTTCATGTTTTGCTGGAAAGGAACCTGACAATATCTAGTTGCCCTGCGATCGTCGATTTTAGAGTACTGCAAAACACTAGCACACTAGACTGGTGTAGCCTAACTTCCTTACCATGGATTCGGCTAAAGAGTCCAACATTCACTTTTGTATGTATATATAGAAATAACAGCAATATCTATTCAAACTTCAAAATTAAAATATAATTTTAGTTTCGAGTTAATAAATTTTGCCTCTATTTTCAGAACAACTGGGACAAGAATTCGTAGACCCTCCACAATTCGATTTGATGGCATCATTTTCGGATTCACACTGTTGTATACCGCTCATTTTTATTCTAACTCCCGGCTCAGATCCCACAGCGACACTTTTGAAATTTGCCGACGAACAAGGTTTCGGTACAAATCGTCTATTTTCGCTCTCTCTCGGTCAGGGACAGGGACCGATCGCCACAAAAATGATCGATGATGGCATTAAGCTCGGTAATTGGGTTGTATTACAAAATTGTCATTTGGCTAAGAGTTTTATGCCTACGCTGGAGAAGGTTTGCGAGAATCTAGTACCTGACGCAACACATCCCGACTTTCGTCTATGGCTCACCTCTTACCCGGCTGATCATTTTCCAGTTGTGGTTCTGCAAAATGGTATTAAAATGACAAATGAGCCTCCCAAAGGTTTACGTTCCAATATAACGCGTTCGCTGTTGAGCGATCCAATCAGTGATCCCGAATGGTTTGAATCGTGCAAACAGACACAGACCTTCAAACAATTAATATATTCATTGTGCTTCTTCCATGCGGTCATACAAGAGCGACGCTACTTTGGTCCAATCGGTTGGAATATTCCCTATGAATTTAATGAGACCGATTTACGCATTAGCCTGATGCAGTTGAAAATGTTTCTGGATCAATATGAGGGCGTAAACTACGATGCGTTACGGTATTTGACGGGTGAATGTAATTATGGTGGACGTGTCACAGACGATTGGGATAGACGGACTTTGAAAACTATTTTGAATATTTACTACAGTCCCGAAGTGTTGGATTTGGAGAATAAGCATTACTTTGACGATGAAAAGGTCTACCACATACCAGTTTTTAAGGAGTTGGAATTGTATTTGGGCTATACACGCGAGTTACCCATACAAACGGCGCCGGGTATATTTGGGTTCCATGCAAATGCCGATATTATGAAGGATCAGCATGAGACGGATATGCTGCTGAGTCATACTTTGTTGACGCAGGTGAGTGTGTAGCAGAGGAGAAACGGAGATGTTGAGCTCTAGGTCTTTACATACATATATACATACATACATATATACTATATATAAATTCACAGTTCAGTTTTAAATAATTTTTTTCTCATAATTCGCTGCGCTCATAGGATCGTTTGGTAAGTACGCTTAGTAGACAGTAGAAACAAAATACATACAAACTTTTACTTAATTGCGTAATTTATGGTTGCACACAAACAGGATTTTTATCAGCGACGCGTAAGTAAAATATATATTGTTCTGAGTCTTACATTTTTCCTTAAATACAAGTTTCTTGTACTATTTATGTTTTTAGATGTTAGAAAAATCGCATAGCTTCTATATTGAAACCTTATCCAAACGCTTTCCCGAGAACCTTGTCCTACCACCTATCCCAACCGATCCTTATATACCCTCTTTCTTCCTTAAGGATACAAGTTCCTCGTCTGCAGGTGATGAAGGCGAAGGCAAGAAAGCTTTAACGCCCGAAGAAGTGGTAACAAATGTCGCTACCGACATTTTGAATAAACTGCCGAAAGACTTTGATCGAGACGCTGCGATTTCACGCTATCCTACAAGCTACCACCAGAGTATGAATACTGTGTTGGTGCAGGAGATGACACGTTTCAATGTTTTACTTGGCACTATTAGATCCAGCTTGATTACGTTGAGAAAGGGCATAAAAGGTAAGTCTACATTTTTTCTGTTATTAAATAATGAGGGGTGGGAGCGTTGGTGCATAATGGGGTGCAGTAAAGCTTCTGGGTAAGCAATTATAGTCGCTGAATCTTAATTGCAGCGTTTGTTAACTAGAGGTGCGCCTGCGAGCTAGCGTCGGCCGCTCGGCTGAGACTACCACTACAAAGAAATTAGGAATTATGATTTGTGGATATGAACCTAGAGATGCTGGAGAGAAATACGAAAATGAGTAGGTCGTCGCGACATTTTTTACATCGGTCAAATAAAGGGGCGCTCCGTCACCGAGTACTGGCATCACACCAGTATATGGCATATAGCTCATTGTTTCCGATCGGCTGGAGGACTCGTTGTTGCCTATGTGCCAAATACCATATATCTTATGCAAATCCATATTCTCGAAAACATTTGCCGACTCATCAGATGTTGCCAATGATTTTTGACTTGTAGAGTTTGGTATTTGTTTGTCAACTTCCCACTAAGTTCAGAGTGTTAGCTGTTGGCTAACATAAATCTGCATTGGATTTACAGGCTGACATTGTTGTTGGTGTTAATACTGATGATTGTTTGCTTGATGAAAGGAGATATTTCGGCTATACTTAGAATTTTTGGCCGTTTTCCCTGATAGCCATCTCCATACACTTCAGACTCTGGTCTCTTGGTCTTGGCCTGTAAATACGTCTTGCTCTCCTCTTCACACTCTCGGCATCTGCACCACCCGACTATATGCTTTCAATGATTGGTGTATTACAACTTTAATGAGTTATAAGAAATTTTCAGAAGGAAAGTAGAAGATTGTCTATCAGTTTTAGAGATATTTGCAAACACACAAGATACTGTTTCAATAATTGTTTGTTTTTGAAGGTGGGTCAAGTCAATTCATTTTATAATTTCGCCATAAATCATTTATAATTATTAAATTTCTCAACATTTTTAAATTTATTCTAACCGCTAATTATATTGAGATCTAGAAATCTTGACAGTTAGTTGGTTAAGAGGTTGCTTGATTAGGGATTCTGATAAAGCGCATTGGCCCATTGTGATACCTTTGTTGGTGCTGTGAAGAAGATTCTTCTCATCTTTCTAAACGCTCAAATCACTTAGTGTATTTGAGAAGTTCAAGAGATTATTGATGCCAACAGATGCAAGATGGGCAAGGAAATCGGAATAATAATTTCCCAGAAAGCGATAACTAACCGCATTTAAAGCTGTCCTCCACCGACTCCTCCTCATCTATGCCCCTGCAGCTGAGGCAAAAGTCGTTTGAGAAACAAACCATCCTTATACTATAAACCCCCACAACAAAGTGTCTTAGAGCATGGAGATTCTGTTTTGAAGAAGTCAACACTTAGTTCTGTGTACTTTGATCAATGGCCTTACTTGTCTGGTCTAGTCTGTTGGCTTATCTAGTGAAACCTAGTCTTAATAGATACTTCGTCGAGGAAATAGGTATGCCCGCGCCGCAGTTTACCGGGATTATGACTCTTCCTCATCTGGTTAGTTCATCAGCCACGCAGTTCCCTAGCCGAAACCACGTACGTTTCGGATACAATTAAGAAAATTTAATTTCTCAGGTTTTAAAAAAAGTATAAAATGCCAACTATCTCCAATTTATTATTAATACAAACAAAACTACTACTACTAACAAAATCTTTTCCTACATCTGCCGACAGAGTAAAATACCTTAAAAAATATTTTATTTCATCCATACGTATTTTCGATATTGTTGCTCTTGTCTAGAATATAACTCCAATAATAATTAAAAAATCTCCAAATTGAATATCCTATAAGTGGCAACATTAATCAATTCTAGGCAAAAATTTCGAAGTGAAACTAGCTTATAGAATTTTTGTGCCATGGGAGTAATTATAATAACAAAAAGAAGAAAGCTCAATAAATAACTTCTGAAATTCAGAGTGAGACTGTGAGGCTTACTTTATGAAATTAGGGTTAAATTATTTTTCTCAACTTTTTAATATATTACCCGTTGAGATCAAAAGGGTTAAATGTAAGTAATTTGGATGCTCAGAAAGATTTCTGCTGAGTTTTATTACCAAATTATGCTCATCCCATAAATACCAAAAGCGACACTGCGTTATGTGAGAGTGACAAGTGTTGTTAATTTAATTAAAAGTTAAAAGGCAGCAATTAACAAACAATACATTTAATTTTCTTGAAATGTTTAAAGGCTCCTAAATCAACTAAACTCCAGTGATTTATGCTTGAAAATAAAATAACAAATCTGTAGGGAAATGACCTAATTAAAGTCAAAAGACACTTGACTCTGGCTTAGCTTAAAGTTTATATAAATTAGGACAACCGTTGATATCACCGCACCAATTTCTTGCTACTTACGGTGGGCGAGACTCAATATTTATCGTTATTATTAATATTTTTGCATTATAGTAACGCTTTATTTCGCACAGTTTGAATTATCCGATTAATGTTAAATAAGCCCCGTTTGGCTCAACAACTTTTTGCTATTTTGAAGGTCGCTATTGGCAAAAGCTTGGGATAATCGTTTTTCGCAGGCTTCTCCTGAGGTTAATTCTTCATAAGCAGTAACAGATGGAAGTCACTCGCTGTGAGGTTTGGACTAGAGGATGGCTGTATGGTCTGGCGTTGTTTTTATTAAACTTAATTCCACTCTAATTGACCAAAGTTTGACGTCTCTGGGCGTTGTTGCAGAAGCGTACTTACCACGGACGCGGTAGCTGAGTGTTCAGTATTGCGTACTGACATTCGAAAGGCCCGGTTCCATATCTCGGTGCCAGCAACATCCAAAAAGTTATGGAAAATTAATTTAAGTAAAAAATTAAATAAAATAGTCTAAATTAAATAAAATAGTCTAATTTCGCCCCTCGGCAGGGAATGTCCACCCTCGGAGTGTATTGCGGACATGAAATAAAGGCTCCTCATAAAAATCCATCAGCCGTTCGGGGGCGGCTTATTATAAACTGTAGCTCCTTCCATTTGTTGGAAAAACATCCAGACGCAAAACCACTAATTGGAGGAGAGGAAAAATCGCTTCAGCGGTTACAAAGCGCCAATTGTATATACATAGTGGATGATTCCTTGCCAATCCAACCAAACATACAACAAACCCTTGCTAGCCGTAAATTCTGGCTTAGAGACCGTTTGTGCTAGTTTACTGCCTTCGACCACGACCATTTCCGTTCGACGTTGCTGTATGTGATCCACTTTTCATCACCAGTTACCATCTGCTTCTGAAGTGGTTCGATTTTGTTACGATTCAGCAGTGATTCGAAGGTAGAAATCCGGTCCGTGAGGTTTTTTCTCGTTATGCAACACCCATGCTCTATTTGTACTCCGAAAATTTATCAAGTAGCCCTAAATTTTTTTCGAATAGAAATCATGCTCCCATGACGGTCTAAGCCGTCGGTTTTCAACAATTGACCTTTTGCAACGTGGATCATCTTTTACTTCGAAATTACAAGAAATGAAATTGACGACAACCAAAATCTGCATGATTGACTGTTCCAGTATAAGGACCATAACAGCTGCTTGAATAACGGTTTCGTCTACATCGAAGAAAAATTGTAAAATATAGCGTTCTGCTGGTGTCCATCTTAGATATGCACTCAAACACTACTGAGTTAAGTGGTAAACACTTCACCTCTTCTTAATGGCCAAGAATTTAGCTTTATTATAAAGATTAAGGATTGCATTGTTCTAAAAATGATTTTTTGGACTGTTGACCGCCACTCGACATGATGTTATCATAACATCTTATCCTTCCAGACCGATTTTCCATTAACATAAGAACAGGCACACAATTTTCCTGCGATTCGTCCCGCAGACCAAACGATTAGTTTGGTAATAAATTTGCATGATTTGTTGTTGTTCCGGAATCCATTAAGAAAAGGCAAACCTATGGATGTAAACCAAGTAAAATCTGTCAAAAAGACTAAATCCGAAAAAGCAATGCCTCATTGAAAATTTGAGAAGAACTCGTTTTGTGAGTGTTTTCGACGTCGGTCTGAATATATATATATATATATATACTCTACTGTATCTATCATTCTGGGATGGCTTGATATAATTATGCGGGAATTTATAAATATTTTAGTATTAATGCCAAAATAAAACTCGTCGATTGTTGATTATGGCTACGCAGTGTCTTCATTTGACCTTCGCTGAAAGTTGTCCGAGTTCTGCGTACAAAATCTTGGACAATTCGTTGCCTCTGCCTGCATCTATTAGTCCATAGAATATTAATCTAAATTCGTGTCATTCTGACTTTGTTAAAAGATTATAGTAATAATGAAGAGTGTTTCAAAGAAAAATTTTAATATTGATAAAAACAAATGACAAAATATATTTATATAAAAATCGCAACATCTACAAATTACTTAAAATCCACAAAAAAATATATATAGGTATATATATACAGCAGATTAATTCAGTAATTTCATCATTCTTCATTCTTGGTCTTTGCATCAGAATCTGCGGTTTCTGCACGGTTTTCAATGCTCACCTTCTTGTGTGATGTTGTTGATTCCGGCATTACACTGATACGCACATGTTGCCCCGCAGTATCGAGCTGACTGCGTAGGGATGATTTTTTCCCAAATTCAATGCCCTTAAGTGATGAATGTCTCTCTGATAATTGATGGTCTTCCACAGATTTTTCTCCCTCCTCATGTGGTGTTGGTAAGGATGCATGTTTCTTGAAATCACTGCCTCTTTCCAATGTTAGTTTCTCTGGTGTTTGTAGCTCTTCTAATGGTTCCTTAATTGCTTGCTCGGAGTGCACCACTGGTTCTTGTTCTCCTTCAATTGTAGCTTCCTCCGTTGGGTGTACAACTTCCAAGGCTGCGCTTGTGGGTAAATCTTGCCCAGCTTGTTGTTCGATATATACGTCAACGGGTTGTTCGGATTGCCCTTCACTAGATCTGTGAGAGATAAGTTCAAGTGGTTGTGATTTGGCATAAATTTCAGCGATTTCATCTTCTACTGAAGTTAGTTGCGTTTGTACGGTGGTTTCTGGAATTATTGGTGAAGCTTCATGAGCAGATATTCTGCGGAATATTTCATCTATTACAGAACGCAATCCACAAGCGCTGGTTGCGCTACTTTGACTACTTCTACTTGTGGTCAGTTGATCTTCATCTTCTACCTTATCATCACTATCTGTTTCAGAGCCCAAGAAATTCAAGAGCTCCTTGTAAATTTTGTTCAATGTTTTTAGCGATAACTTATCTTCCTCAGATTCGCCATGCTCAGAGAGATCGAAGTAGAACTGCAAAGTGATCGCACAGAATTTCATTAGTAAAGAAATACAACAACAAAACAGTTGGGTACTAACCGCTTGTGGCATGTACTTTAACACTGAAGATGAAGCTTCCGTTCTCCTGTCAGTCATCGGCTCTTCATTCTCATATTCCCCTGGTGGTAAGTTAGTTAAAAGGTCACCTAAGATATCAGATGAACTTGAATGCGATTTGGAGGAGGTAAAATAACTTTCCAAGCTGTGTGTCGATGGATATAATAAATTCGTATGTGAAGTGTACAATTGCAATTGACAAAAGCGATTCATACTATCGCTTTCAAATACCGATCCTCTGCTATTGGTCACTTTTACAACATCATTAACTAAATCAGCTAAAATCTCTTTGACCATACGTTCGAGCGGTGTCTTCCAACGACGACCAGGCACGACGTGACGAATTAATTTTCGTATCAGCGCTCTGACTTCACGGTCATTATCCGCACAATTGCAAGCAAGACAAGAGCAAGTCGAGTCTACTTCAGAGCTGAAGTAGTATAGATCGAGATCGAGCAAACGATCAATGATTTCAGCAGTTAATGCCGTGCAAATATCGTAAGGTTCCAAGGCGTTGAAAACTTTATTGAAAAGTTCATCTTCAATGATGTAATGTAACATTTGTTTGATTTCTAATTGTTTCAATATTTCATCTAAGTCAGGAAACATTATTTTCCTAAGCTTATAGCGGAGGGACTGATAGTTCAATGGGTTTTGTATGCGATAGAGTGAGTCCAACCAACGTTGTACATCTGCGTCTATGACATGAGCCAAATCTAACGTCTCAGTTTCCGCCTTTTGGTGTGCAATTTTGCTAATGTCTTCGTCTAAAATCATATTCAGATATTTGCGTCCAACGAGCACACCTTCCATGGTGTCATTATATATTTGCTCATATATTTCACGCATATTATTTTCCTTCTGCCGTAAACCAGCTTCCGCCGCTTCACGGCGCCAACGCTCCTTTTGTGCCATCATTGTGATATAGTGCAGTAAGCGTTGCTCTTCTAGGCGACCCATCTCTTCGGACAAGAAGCGCATAATCCAACCGATTGTACAGCCCTCATATTCTTGCACCATAGCTTCGAGCTCCTCATCGTACAGTTCCTGCATGAGGTATTGCGCGCGTTGTTTCTTTAGTCCTATTGAACGCCGGAACTTCAGATCTTCCAACCGTTTCAGTTCGCCTTCACTGGCTCTTCTCTCTCTAATCACTTCTTCAGTTTCAACGGGTTCTTCTTCCACTAAAATATCCACCTTGTCTTCTTGTCTTCTGGGTGTAGTTTTGGGTGTAACAGCTTGTTTGGTTTTCTGTATAAGACATTTCGGCACAACCTTTTGCTTCACTGCTTGCTTACGTAAACTCTGGAAAAAAAGAAAGTATTGTATAAAAATTTGCCTACAAACTCGTTATTTTCCACCACACACCGTTAGCGTTTCATACATCTTTTGTAGATTCTCATCGGAGCAGAAATTCTGTTCAATTTCCAAGAAGCGCTGCTTCGGTTTAGCCCATTTCTTCAGCTTTGCGAAGGGACATACAAGTTTGGTGAATTTCACAGCACGTTTTTCCAAATCATCCATACGTGCTTCGAACTCTTTGCGTCCACCCACAAAGTGTCTGCGTGCCGGGTTGACGCCATAGCGCAACTGTGGTCCATAGAACTCCGAGCTGGGGCTGCCCAACTGGCTGACAATATTCTCTTTACGCCAACACTTTGGCACACGTCGACGCTTGATTTCCAGCTGACGCATACCACGCTCATACTCAACACGGTTCTTATCCAACAAAGTCTCACGTTGTGCCAGTATCACTTCGTAGCTACGTTCGATGCGCGCCTTTGACATGACGTGTATTTTCTCTTCACGCTTATTGAACATACCAATGAGTATTTCTAGCCGCAGCATCTGACACTCTTGTATATACTCTTCACGCTCTATCCAATGTTCCCATTCGAAAGCCTGTAAAACAATGTCTTGTTGTGATAGCTTCGCTTGCGCCTTGGCTTCTTCGATTTGACGTCTGAAATTTTCCTTCAACGCTTGTGCGAATGCCCAACGTTTACGCGCTCGATCGAGTACCTCTACTTGATATAAACCCGGTGGACCGTCGCCAGGTAATATGGTGGGTAGTTTGAAGAGCTCCATTTGCTCTAAGTCGGCCTGTTTATTCGAAACTTCGGGAAGAAAAGGCAGCGTTTGTGCGGAGGACTCGCTGAGAGAAAATTGATATCAAGCAGATGTTGCTCAGGGCTTGGTATTTGGAATTCCGTTTCAAGAATTAGTATAAACATGTGTGTTAATCTTTTACTTACCGATACATTGATTGTGTGCCTCGTGTTTTCACCTTCTTCTCCCGAGGCTCTTCGAAAAATCTACAATAAGCAAATCTCTGCGATGGACTACTTTCCATGTCGTGGGTAAGATTCAATTTCATCTCAACGAAATTCACATTTGTATTGGGTTTAAGGTATTGCATGCCACGTGGATTGGATTTACATTCACCCGGTGAAGTGGCAATGTTCATTGCGCGTCGATCGCCCGGACTGTTGACACCTGGAAATGAGGTTTGAAGGAACCAAACTACAAATCTTGAACTCAAAAACATCAGGTATGTTAATTACCGCCTTTGAGACGTGCCGATAAGCGATTGAAAGTACTGTTTAGCGAATCCGTTGAAGTAGATCTCAGTGAGTAGCGATCGTGCTCGTTCGGCGATACAGTTAAATCTTTGCTAAATGCGTTTCGCTCCAGTTCCGGTTGATTCGTGAGTACTGCTTCGTGCCTTGCGTGCATTTTCGCGGTTGTTGCTTTATTCTTCGCATTCTTCAACAACTTTAGCTCTTCCGATTTTACTGTTCCCGCATATTCCGCATTTTTTATGTAATTAAATGAGCGTTTTCCACTTTTACGTTGATTAGCTTGAGCCATCGTTTTATGGAATATTTTTTTTTTATTTATTTATATCTTTTTTTTGTTTTTTTGATTGCTTGGAAATTTCTTAAAAAATGTTTTGATGTGTAGGCAGAAATTCGAAAACTAGTGAAGGAAAATCGATTTTCTTTCCGCACTTGTTTGGGTGTCGATTTCTATTTTTGTGTGGCTTGCAGTATTATTTGTTTAAGAATTACTTTCGATTTTTCCTTTCTTCTCACAGGTCTTGTTGTGATGTCCGCCGCAATGGAGGCTGTTTATCGTAGTGTGTTGATAAGCAAAATTCCAGCGATGTGGGCTGGTAAGTCGTATCCGAGCTTAAAGCCACTGGGGAGCTACATCAGCGATTTTCTTCAACGTTTGGACTTTTTGCAGGTAAGCTTTTCTGTTTAATTTCAATTATTGCTAACAAGCAAACGTTGCCAAGCAATGTAAGGACGATGGATGCATGGTGGGGATTATTTTGTGGAATGATACATACATACATACATACATATATATATGCGAATACTATTTATTATGGCTATAGATAAAATAGGCTATTGATTAAATATTTAATGTTGCTCCCTTGCTGTAGCGTGTCTATCTTAGAACTAAAACATACATATGTATATGTGCAAAAAAAATTGGCTTTTCCAATATCGTAGAGTGACTTCTTCTCTAAATAGTATAAATTTCAGTATTTAATTGAGGTCGTTACAGGCGGTAAGCGAGGTTCCTTACGTTTTTTTAAAGCAAAAAAAAAAAAAAACACAGAAAAGGCAAATTTTATGGAGAATGTTTGTTTTCATTCGAAAGAACATTCTTTGGTATTGTTTGAAGATTATTTCTCTCAAATGTTGACCACGACTACTTTTCCGTTGAATCTAATTTTTGATGATTCGCGCGAGAATTTCAGCTGGTAACGTGATGTTTTGTTCCAAGGCCTGAATCGAAGCGGGATTGTTTTTATAGACTTTAGACTTTAGACCAGCCCGAAACGTAAATATTTCAGGTATCAAATAATCGGTTATCATATCGCGATAACGACATTTTTTTTTGATGAAATAGCCACTATTGAATCTCTTCAGGTTGCTATTTGTCCCCAATTCGGTCATTGTGTCGGAAATGAGCCTCATCGCTGAACAAAATTTGGCTCGTGAACGTCGGATATTTTTGGAACTTTTCAAGAGCCCATAGAACGAAGCGAAGTCGCTTGCGCAATCTAACATGCTTCATTGTAAAAAGCACGGAAACCATCAGTGGCGATTGGATACTAAGTCAAAACCCCGAGAGCCTGTCATTTTTACAGCCGTGTTGTTGCTGTTGCTGTTGTAATGATATAAAAGGCACGATTAGTAATGCGCTACGAATTGAGAACTACTGTCAATACGACAAAAAAGGTGCTACGTTTATTACGTTTCTTAGAAAATTATAACCGTATAGTGTAGGCAGGTCGCTTTAAACTTGTATCTCTTACAGTTCATCGATACATCATCTGCGGTATTCGTAGTATATCTTCTACGTAACCTTTCTCTTGAAAACTCCTAGCGCTGACTCATTGTATATTGTCTTCGTCTACGCTTTCGTAAAATATAGCAAGACGGGTAGGATGAGTTTGGTTTCTGTTCGTCGATTGAGGACTTTAGTCCTCACTAATAGCTCTTGAAAGTGTCATTCTTTGCTTGATTTCCAAGTTGATATTTTTATTGGTGATGCGAAATACTTGGCAGCTTCAAAAGTATAGCGATCTAGCAAGTGATCCCATTGTCCCCTCTAAAAGCAGGAAGAAAGATGAAAATCTTTAGAGTTAATTCCACGGCAGAGAGTTGGAGTTATGCTTTCTTTTTATTCCAAATACGCATATATAAAGCTTAAGAAGAGCTCACTGTTGTTACTAGAAAACACCAGGAAGTTGTGAAATCACCACTTTCCTTGAAGGAGCCGTCCCGTTTACTTTATGATTGCATAAATATAATTTTGCATGAAAAGATTTTTAATGGTTTGTTGTTTCAATGTCTCCTTGCAGAGATGGTTCGATAATGGCCCACCTACAACATTTTGGCTTTCCGGCTTCTTCTTCACACAGGCTTTCCTAACCGGAGCTCAACAGAATTTCGCTCGCAAGTATATTATACCAATTGATTTATTGGTTTTCGACTACGAAGTATTGAGTATGGAAGAGGATGAAACCAAAGGAGTAGCTGCACCTGCAGATGGTGTCTTCGTGTACGGTGTCTTCCTGGAAGGTGCATGTTGGGATCGTGCAGGGAATTGGTTGGCCGAATCGCGGCCACGTGAATTATTCGATCGCATGCCTTTGATTTGGATGAAGCCAGTGAAACGTAGTGATCTCAAAGAGCGGCATGTCTACGTCTGTCCACTTTACAAGACAGCAGAACGTCGAGGTGTGCTCTCTACAACCGGACATAGTACTAATTTCGTGGTGGCAATGCTGTTGGAATGTAATCCCAAAACGAATCCATCACATTGGATCGAACGCGGTACAGCGTTGCTCTGTCAGCTGAGCTTTTAGGCACAGACTGTCACATAATATTTATTTTTACTGTTATACATACATACATATACTAAAATACTAGTAGAGCAATCGCTCAAGCAATATACATACATAAATTTCATATATTTTGAATCAATTCTTTATAAAAAGATATTAAATCGATTCAATAGAAAATAAATCTTGAATTTATTTACTTAAATGTGTGTCATGGGTTTTCGCACACTGTTGGGCATAGAACGAGAATATCGAGGAACTTGAAACGTAATCAATTTCAATTTATTAAATGTGGGTTTCAAACTGCGCCAAGCTCAACTAAAGGACTGTGGAAAGAGTGCAAAAAAGCTCTAAGAGATACAGTCTGTCAGATAAATGATGTATTGCGTTAATGAGAGTCGAGAGTGCAAGGCAAGGAGTAGCAGATTCAATGGAAATGGATGAATGCGAGTGTGTGTATGCGAAACAAATTTTGAAAAATTCAAAGAAGTGAGCGAAGTGACCATACAAATTTATTTTTATATGCAATGGAAGGTTAAAAAGCTTCTTAATAGTTCTCACGTGGCTCCGTCGTTACAAGGACATCGAGGGAAACTGCAAGGCGGTTGAACTTTCAAAGGAAGGTAAATACGGGATATGTCCAAAGTAATTGGAATTCTGACAGGCCATCGATCGTTCAACTCTTATGCGACTGTGCTAGCCGGAAATTTGAGACCTTATTGCTGGATGGTCTTTCGAAGATAGCCGCATGAATTTAATGAGATTCATTAGAGAATCAAAATCGCTGGAAAATGAAGCCTGGTGGTCAAGTTTTTTTTTGAATCGCAATGGATCTTAGTCAGGCCTGAGTGAATACGTATCAATCACATCTCCCCACTGAAAAGCTTACCTAAGAGTACCGTTTTTTTTTTGGGCTATGGCTTCTCTATAAACATTTGAGGATTCTCGGAGCCTCGTTGATGAAGAAAATTTGGTTTGAAAAACTGCCGTCTAGTGTTTCTTGTTCAAGCATCCAACATGACATATGTACGGCGTTGGAAACAATCAGCTGGCAGTTGTTGTGTGAACCAATCTAGACTCTTCAAAATGTCTTTAAAAATTTATGTTTATGTGCACCGTAAATCGGCGCTTTATAACCGCGGAAGCGATTTTGCCGAGCTCTTCCTACAATTTGTGGTATGCGTCTTTATGCTTTCCAAAAAATGGAGGGACTTACAGCTTATACTAAGGCACCTCCGAGCGGCTGATGGTTTTTTATGAGAAGCCCTTATTTCATACATGGAAATACACACGCAGGGTTTGATATTCCCTGTCATGGGGCGACCTCTTATAGAAATAATAATTTTCTATAATTCTAACGGGTGATCCAAGTAGTCAAGCTGTCAGTATTGTTTGTCATTGTATCATGAAAAAACTTACGCCTGAACAACTTTTACAAATCTTTCAACTTAATTGCGAAAATTCACGCTCTGTAAAAAATGTGTTTCACGCGCTTCGCTCAATGTATGGTCAACATCACCGGCCTACTGAACGTACTATTCGCAATATTATAACTCATCTTGAGACCGAGAATTCATTGTTGGATGATATTCGACCGAATAGATCACGTCCAGCACGTAGTGTAGAAAATATAGCGGTCGTAGCTGAAAGTGTACACGAAGACCGTGAAGAGTCGATTCGCCGTTCGCTGCAACCCGGACTGACGTATGGAATGACTTGACACCATTTTACGTTAAAATCTTAAATTGAAAGCGTACATAATACAGCTTGTGCAAGAATTGCAGGCGCTCGACCTCAGCAAGCGACATCGCCTCGCTTTATGGGTTCTTCAAAATTTCCCAGAAGTTTCAACATTTTTGAGTTAAATTTTGTTCAGCGGTGAGAACCATTCAAACAAAGAGACAAAGAGCAACCTGATGAGATTCAAGAGCTGCTATTTTATCTAGAGAAACCAACGGCTTGGTGTGGTTTGTGAGCCGCTGGTATCATCGGTCAATATTTCTTCAAAAATAATGCCAGTAAGAAGGTAACCAAAATTTCTTATTTCTTACCTTACCGGTGTTATTTTCCACACAACGCATCAATCAATGGATTTATTGAGAGAACACTTTGGTGACCAGATATTTTTGCGTTTGGGCCGGGCCGATTGGCCTGTGGGGATATGTAAATTCTAAGTCTATGCGGACAATTCCGCTTCTATTCCGGCCTTGGAGCAAAACATTACGCGTATCATTCTCCAGTTAGTGGTCGAAATATTCGAAAGAGCCATCAAAAATTGCACTCAACGGATGGACCGTCTGAGACATAGCCGCGGCCAACATTTGAAAACGATAAGCTCCAAAAAATAAATACCAAAGAATGTTCTTTCGGATGATAATAAACATATCTCACTAAATTTGAATTTTCTGTGTTTTTTTTTCCTTTAAAAAAGTATGTCGATACTTTATAATGGTCGAAGTAGTACTCGAACCCAAGTTTTCAAGACTGCAATACGTTATGCTAGCCACTCAACTATTGGAGCGTGAAACGTGGCCGCGCTTGAGTCATCATTTGTGTGGTAGGTTTTACAAATTTTAAGGCAGGTCAACAAAGGAGGAAGATATACCAAGATACAAATGTCTTTAATTATCAAAGAAATGTTCTTAAGCATTTTATGAATTTATAATTAACCGCAAATATGCTCTTGCTTGCTATTGTAGAAGGCGCTGCCATTTCAATACTGACGAGAGACTTATCAATCGTTAATTAATAATTTATCATCATATTTAGAGGTTTTCGTTTATTATTCGAACTTCAGTGTGGAGAAATGAATATGACGGTACTCAATCATTTGCATTTGATTGTAGATGACATGGATTAATTAACCCTCAAGTTATGAAAGAGCGGTAATTATGAGAATTTTCACGTACATATGTATGCATGTACGTGTATAAATGAATTCATAATTCCTAACACGCGCTGACGGAAAAGTATACAAATCCAACATCAGACTTAAGTACATACAAGCTTATGTATTCTTTGTGTTTGAATGGCTTTGATAACCGAATTAATTTGCCAACTCAGCTGACATCCACTGCCTTAATTGTAGAAAACACTCACTTTGTTCGCCTGAGATATGCCCAAATTGGATGGAACGATTTCACTAAAGTATTTCATTCAAATTCTATAGCTTTAAGGCATAAAAGTACTTTATCCAAGTGGTTAAATGGTGAGTTTCACGTAAAACTTTCAGCATCCACTTTTCCCCTTTACAAGCTGATAAGTGTTAATAGCGAAAGAGAGCTCGAGGAATGAGCTGTTGATTCAAGCTAAATAACAAGATACACGTAGAAGGTGAAAGCTCTTGTAAGCATTCACAAACGCTTTCGTTGAGGTTCTTCTCCTTTAGGAAATTGAGGTAAATTTAATTGAATTACTTTACCTCGTGCGTATTAAGGATGAAGGCAACAACATTCATTTATAAAATAAATGTTGTCCATCAATTAAAGGGTATATTGATGAAGGGGAAGAAGAGGAAGGCGCAGTAGAAGTGCTGGCATTTGCTACACTTGCAGCTTTTTCGTTTGGAAATATTTTTTTTTATTAATTTATCGTTTCTGTGTTTCCTCATTATTACTGTAATTATTTGACTCATAATATAACCGCTGAAGCGATTTTCGGCCGAGCTCCTTCTTCAATTGGAGAGATCTAGAATATATTCTCCTTCTCCTTTCGAACGGCATAGTCACCGCGTCCGCGATTATAACCCGATTTGAAACCCAACCTTCAAAATAGTAGTACGCGATGCTAACCACTCGGCTACCGCGGCTGCAGTGAAAAATGGCTATAAGTAAATTAATATTTAAGATCTAAAATTAACTTCTTTGATTCAAACATTTTCTGAGCCACTATCAGAACTCTATTAGTGAGCTCCTTAGGCGGAAAAATACAAACATTAAGTCCAGCGAGAGCATACCATCTCAACAAGGTCCCCAAACTGTCTATGAAGAATCTGGCGATACCCGATATAAATAAATAGGAATGAGTAGACCCGGTGTTGAAACCTGGGAGGTCTGCAAACAAAAGGAGTTGTAGCACAAGAAGAGAACTATACTGCCAAGAGGCAGACACGACATCTTAACTTTCTTTCCCTACCACCGCCTAACTGCAAACGAAGAGTTCTAGATACGTAGACCAAACCCATGACTTAACTTATCCAGACTTGACCTCGACATATTCAACATATTTCCTTTCCGTACGATACTAGCCACATCTCTAAATTTTCTTCGAAAGGACTAGATCCGTATCCATCGAATCAGTACATTTCCTGGGCATTCTATTAGATACACCGATGACATAGACCAGCTGCTAAATGGAGTCTCGTAAGTCTTCTTCCCAAGTCAGCGTTGGAAAATTGGACATTCTTCTTCCCCTAACCCAAGACTTCCGAAACACGTCTATCAAATAAAGATATAATTATAATATAATATTTAATTTGCTATTAACGAAATTTGGAATTATCAGGATTTCGAAAATGTTTTGATCCCTTATTTTCTTGGTTTATGGTTATAAAAATAATTTTCAGCAATACGAAACAAACTTCGCACGTATAAGCCCAGCCTATGAGATTTTTTTTGGTCTCTTTTTGGCATTGCGTCAAATTAATTGGATGTAAATATTCAAAGCTAAAATCAACAAAAAATCAGTTTCACAAACAAAGTAAACATTTCACTAGACAATTTCGATAGTATACCAGCATATAAAAAATATATACAGACCAACTAACAGTCATTTTAAGCAAAGCGAAATTGTACGAACAAATTTAAAAATTTAAATTTTGCTGTGGTCAGTTTACTTGAGTGATTTTAATGACAGATTTCCAATCTTAGGCCCGTCAGACATGGCAATTGATTGATTTCGAATTGCCTGCAAAAATGTAAAATTTCGAAATTTAATTTTATGGTAATTTAATTTCATTTACTGCTAATTATTCATTTTGGTTTAGTAAGCTGTTATTAGTATAAACTATAAAGGAATTTTGATAGAATTGTGCGAAATTTGAGGGCACATATACATACAAACAAGGTTGTTCAATAAGAGGTATTATTTTGATATTCCAAGATTTTGATTCCAAGGATGCTTTTTCAATGTAAATAGGAAGAGATGCCATTAATAATAAAAAAATAATATCAGCCAA